GTTTTCCTGATGAAGTCATTCATACTGCAGAAAGGATTTATGACTGTCCACCACCAACTGCCGAGCTAATGTTGAGCTTCACAGATGGAATTACGCAAACACCATCAATGCCTATGTTTTCAGCAGAGAATTTTGAAATGAAGACACGTGACACAGCCATGCATTTTTATACCGGTTTAGAGTTGTATACTAAATTTTTATTTGTTTTGACCACACTTGGTCCAGCAGCACATTGTTTGAGATACATATATTTTCAAATTGATAGGGTGTCAGTTGAAAATCAGTTTTTTTATGACTTTGATGAAATTGAGGCATCATACAACCAACTTTGAACTGTCTAGATTCTAGATTGAATCTAGTGTTAAGAATATTGTGTATACATGGATTGTTTTTATGTCTAAACAGTGGTGTGAGGCTAACACTTGGCCATCTAGTGGTTTAGTCAGGTATTTTTCACCATCCAACTTCAAATTAAAGTTTCCTACGACTTGGATTATTATTGACAGCACAGAATATCCCGTGATAAAACCTAAAGCTCCTAGAGCTCAGGCAACCTTTTCATCAAATAAAAACAGAAACACTGAAAATTCTTGAATGTTCGACACCTGGTGGTTTAGTCAACTATGTCTCTATGTCACATAGAGCGAATTATTGGACTTGGCAAAACATACAAAATTCTAATAAATCCTATGAATGGAACTGAAACAAAACTTTCATCTGAAATAACATTTAGTTGTTTTATGTTGTGTAATTTTAGAACTTGTATTGTGCCAAAGGATGCATAAATAAAAGTGACGCAATGAATTTTGTTCTGATATATATATATTTACAATTACATGCACATGTAAATTGTAATGCATATAAAAATAAGGAGATGTGGTATGATATTCAGTGAGTTTATCAAACTAAAGTGCATAAGAAATGGGTTTAAGCAGTTACAGGTGTTACTGTCACCGTACAATCTCCAACAATGAGAAAAACTCGTACCCTGTAAAAAATTTCAGAGATCTTACAACTAAGTTTTGTTGTCTCACCTTGACTTTGGTGAATTTTTTATATCTGTTGATGTAAATATAAAAAAGAAGATGTGGTATGATTGCCAATGAGACAACTCTCCACACATGCACAAGAGACCAAATGACACAGAAATTAACAGCTATAGGTCACAGTACAGCCTTCAACAATGAGCAAAGCCCGTACCGCACAGTCAGCTATAAAAGGCCCAGAAATGACAATGTAAAACAATTCAAACAAGAAAACTAACGGCCTATTTTATGTAAAAAAAATGAACAAATATAACAAATATGCAACACATAAACAAACGACAACCTCTGAATTACACTTTTATAGGCTCCTGACTTGGGACAGGCACATACATGTACAAACAGAATGTGGCGGGCTTAAACATGTTAGCGGGATCCCAACCCTCCCCTAACCTGGGACAGTGGTGTAACAGTACAATATAAGAAAGAACTATAAAAATCAGTTGAAAGAGGCTAAACTCATCAGATGGATAAATACAAATACAAGTGGACGTGGTCGGGTAGTTGTACATCCAAACAACAAAAAGACACTAAGTACAAATCTGAGAGTACTCACAGTTACTGACAGCTAGTTCAAAGCCACTAACAACTGATAAAAAAATCTTGCATCTAAGACTAAATAATCAATCCGTAAGCTCCCTTTAGAATTTTATAAATTTTAGATTTTACATTTCTGAGTTATGGGGTTTTATTCATTAAAAAAGGGGGGATTTTCCAGTCTTTGGACAACAACTCAAAAATGCTTTAAGCAGTTCACATGAAACCGTGGTGAATTATTTATAGCTATTGATGTAATCTCCCTATTGATTTTCATCAATTTCAAATATGACATTGAGAAGAAATTGAACTTTATTTGTTTATAGTCTGGCAACAGATTTATTAAGTATTGCACAACAGCACAGTGTATTGCACAACAGCAAGAAATCTTTAATTGAATATAAATTCAATTCATATAACCGATTTCAAGTTCATTGACTACATTTATTCAGAAACTATAATATGTCAAATATTTAATTACAATCCAAATTCAGACCTGTATCAAGCTTGAATATTGTGTCCATTTTTGCCCCAGCTGTTCAGGGTAGTACCTCTGCGGGTGTATCCAGCTCTGCTCAGCGAATCAGTTTATTTCTTAATTAAGAACTCCTTTTTATACGACCGCAAAAAAAATTTTGTGGTCGTATATTGGTATGACGTTGGCGTCGTCTTCGTCGTCCGAAGACACATTAGTTTTCGCACTCTAACTTTAGTTTAAGTGAATGGATCTCAATGAAATTTTAAAATAAGGTTCAATACCACAAAAGGAAAGTGGGGATTGATTTTGGGGGTTATGGTACCAACAGTTAAGGCATTAGGGGCCAAAAATAAGCATTTTTGTAACTTCCAGACATAACTTGTGTGTAAGTGTATGGATCTCTCTGACATTGTACCACAAGGTTCCATATCACAAAGGGAATGCTGGGATTGATTTTTGGGGGTAATTGCCTCCAAATTTTAGGAATTAGGGGCCAAAAAGGGGCAAAAAACAAGCATTTTTCTAGTTTCATGACAATAACTTGTGTGCAAGTCTATGGATCTCTCTGACATTGTATCACAAGGTTCCATTTCACAAAGGGAATGCTGGGATTGAATTTGGGGGTAATTGCCTCCAAATTTTAGGAATAAGGGGCCAAAAAGGGGCACAAAACAAGCATTTTTCTAGTTTCATGGCAATAACTTGTGTGTAAGTGTATGGATCTTTATGAAATTGTACTACAAGGTTCCATATCACAAAGGGAAAGCTGGAATTGAGTTTGGGGGTAATTGCCCAAAAAGTTAAGGAATAAGGGGCCAAAAATAAGCATTTTTCTAGTTTCCAGACAATAACTTGTGTTCAAGTGTATGGATCTCTCTGAAATTGTACTGCAAGGTACCATACCACAAAGGGAATGCTGAGATTGATATTGGGGGTAATTGCCTCCAAATTTTAGGAATTAGGGGCCAAAAAGGGGCAAAAAACAAGCATTTTTCTAGTTTCATGACAATAACTTGTGTGTAAGTCTATGGATCACTCTGACATTGTATCACATGGTTCCATATCACAAAGGGAATGCTGGGATTGATTTTGGGGGTAATTGCCTCCAAATTTTAGGAATTAGGGGCCAAAAAGGGGCAAAAAACAAGCATTTTTCTAGTTTCATGGCAATAACTTGTTTGTAAGTGTATGGATCTTTATCAAATTGTACTACAAGGTTCCATATCACAAAGGGAAAGCTGGGTTTGAGTTTGGGGGTAATTGCCCTAAACGTTTAGGAATTTGGGACCAAAAAGGGGCCAAAAAACAAGCATTTTTCTAGTTTCCAGACAATAACATGTGTTCAAGTGTATGGATCTCTCTGAAATTGTACTGCAAGGTACCATACCACAAAGGGAAGGCTGGGATTGAGTTTTGGGGTGATGAATCATAAGGGGGTTCAAAAAATTTGGGGGGGGGATTCTTTTTCCTTTTTTTTCTTTAAAATTTTCCATTTTAAATTGGTTATTTCTGATTTATATATAAAAGCAAATAATAATGATATGGTTTGAATAGGTAAATTAAATTTTTTTAAGTATCTTAGACCACTTTCATTCTGTGTCAGAAACCTCAGTGCTGAATCAAGCTTGAATGTTGTGTTCATACTTGCCCCAACTGTTCAGGGTTCGACCTCTGCGGTCGTATCAAGCTGCGCCCCAGCGGAGCATTTTATTTCATTCATAAATTACTTTATGCTTGGAAATATAATTTTGCTTGGAGTTGAAAGAGTTGACATGTTGCAATGTACATCTACTCTACATAGTTTAGTTTAGTTACATACATTTTTTTTGTACCTGAGGTCGTTGAATATAGATCATTATATAAATAAGGAGATGTGTTATGATTGCCAATGAAAAAACTAAGGATTTTCTTATCCAAGGAATAGATTACCTTAGCCGTATTTGGCACAACTTTTTGTAATTTTGGGTCCTCAATGCTCTTCAACTTTGTACTTGTTTGGCTTTGTTACTATTTTGATCTGAACGTCACTGATGAGTCTTATGTAGACGAAACACACATCTGGCGTATTAAATTATAATCCTGGTACCTTTGATAACTAATTTGACTATAAACATAGATAAAAAAAGGTACAAACTGGACATAATGCACTAGTTCATAAACAAGTGAGAACAATCGCCTTCATATAGTGCTCAGAATATGACATTCATAAAACTTATTCAATATCATTAGAGAACTCTAAATCTTAAATACTGAAAGCCACCTGTACTATGCAAGATAATGATATAACTGGACTTAAAATACACACAACCTGTAATTAACTGCCTTTACAGCGCTTTCGTGCTTTGATTAATGTTACGTTTTCTGCTTAAGTTACTTTGATAGGAACTACTTGTGAAAGATCAATGATATTTTGTATGAAGTTGCATTACTATCAGTACATAACAGTTTGGCAACTATTTTGAGGCCTTGCCACCTAAGCCATGGTCCAGTGACTTTGAATTAATTTTAAATGTTAAGTTTTTAGCTTAAGTTTGATTGATAGGAACTACTTACAATAGACAATATTTTCTATAGTTACATTGCTGTCTGTACATCTCAGTTTGTCAACCATTTCGAGACCCTATAAGCTACCCACCATTTGGTCCAGCGACTTTGAATTAATTAGCAATGTTGCTGTCCATCAGATTGCCTTTTCTGAATTTTATGTGGACAGATGAGACATATCTCTGTGTCAACAGTTTATCTAGTCTTGTCTCAGTGTGAAATTCTGATGAATGTGTGGTAATGTGGTAATACAGGACTATTCCTTAATAATTTGTAATTCCTGATTTCACATGTGTAAATCAGAATTGTTTACCTAAAAAATGTATTTGTAGGTGCGTTTATTCACATGTGGTAACTCAGAATTGTTTACCATAAAAAATGATATTTATTTGTTTCAGGGTGTAATCCTGATGAATTCACATGCAGTAATGACAACTGTGTACCACAACGACTTGTATGTAATTCAGAGGACGATTGTATTGATAACAGTGATGAAATAGATTGTGGTATGTTTTATTTTTATCTCTTGAAGTTCTTTCAATTTTTATTGCCACACAGATAATTTTTAAGGAATGTGGTCTTGTGGTAGCATGTTAACCTTGATTGTGTAAGGTCCTGGTTTTGATACATGGTCAGGTTGAACCACAAACTTTAGAATTGTTGATCTGATGTTATACAGTATGTTAACAAGAGGATGTAAAGACTATGTAGATACAATGGTTTGAATATGAAATATTTTTCTATTTACCTTAACTGATGATCTGAAAATTGAAAAAAAAAACTTTGCTGTTTAGGGAAATTGACCTCATCAGTGTTATTTAAAAAAAGAGAGAAAAAACACCAAAAAGATATAAAAAAAAAAACAAAACCTAGAACATGTCCATTTATATTTTTGGAATGACGTTACTCTTTTGGTGATTATTTAAGTGAATTTTGGGTTGTGAAGATTTAAATTTCTATATATATATATATGTCTTATGATTAGCATACTCAGAATGGAAATAAGACTTCAACTGTTCTTTCTGAATTTGATAGTAATTGATAATAAGATATATTTATAGAAAACTATTTTAACCTGTGTGTTGCAAGGGGGTTCTAACTTTGAAAATCTATTTTGATTGCTTTTATTTTGAATAGAACTGAAGATTGAGTTAATGAATGGAAGTTCAAGTGAAGGTCGTGTAGAGGTGATAAGAAATGGCATCCGTGGTACGATATGTGATGATCAGTGGGATGATAATGCAGCAACAGTTGTTTGCCGGATGTTAGGATACAAGTACGTAATGTATTATTGGTATTTTATATTTTATATGTGGTGGCCATTGAATGTTTAAAACAAAATAGTATGTTAAGTTTAAAAAATTTCATTATATTTTGGGAAAGTGATTCTATCATAGATATAAGAAGATGTGGTATGAGTGCCAATGAGACAACTCTCCATCCAAGTCAAAATTTATAAAAGTAAACCATTATAGGTCAAAGTACGGTCTTCAACACGGAGCCTTGGCTCACACCGAACAGCAAGCTATAAAGGGCCCCAAAAATTACTAGTGTAAAACCATTCAAACGGGAAAACCAATGGTCTAGTCCATTTTGTAAATAATGTCAAATGATTCATGTTGTCCATTATGGTATTTTCTCAACATTTTTTTACATTTCTTGGAAGACTCACAAAACTGTCTTATAACACAGAGTACAAAAATATTAGAAATTACAAATTTTGAAATATGGAGATGAGGTATGTATTTCAATGAGATAACTATCCATTGAAGACAAAACAAAGATTTGAACAATTACAGTTTACCTTACAGCCTTCAATAATGAGCAAATCCCAAAATGTTGTTGATATATTGCTTTCACGGTCTAGGTTTATTATTTAGTATACTGTAGTATTGCTTACCATAAGTTAGATATCATTAGTCGGTATTGCTAAGGTAAACGAGATGAAACAAGGTTGTGCGGGGTATAATGTTTTTGACCCATCAGTCTGTGAGTCAGTGTGTCCTGTTTTTGTCATCCCAACTCCTCTGAAAACACACAACAGAATATCATGAAATTTTGAAGATTATAAGGACATACTATGTAGAAGTGCATATCGACAGGAAATTACGATTCAATTTTTTTCTAGGAGTTATGCCCTTTTTGAACTTCAAATTTTGGCCTAAATATACTACTGCAACAGTTTGTCATCACAACTCCTCTGAAACCACACTACAGAATTTCATGAAAATTTGTAGATAATTAAAACATACTATGTAGATGTGCATATCCTTCAGAAATGTTTACCAGTTGACATTTATAGGAGTTATGAGTCTGTGACACTTAGGAATCTGGTGAAATTTTGTTTGCCGAATGACAATGTGGAGGCATGAGGTGCTCACAAAGGTTCTTTAATTTGTTACAGTACTGGTGTAGCTAAGGTTGACAGTATTTATGGTTCAGGAACAGGGATGATCTGGCTGGATGGGATGGTTTGTGATGGAACAGAGACGAGTTTAGATGACTGCCACATTCCAGTTTGGGGTAAACATGACTGTGATCATTCTGAAGATGCAGGGGTCATATGTACTAATATTTCCATTGCCTCAACTACTACAACTACAGAAAAACCATGTAAGTTGCTATAAATCCTACACACAATGTTTGTTATAGGAATTTTAAAATAAGGAGATATGGTATGTTTGCCAACTAATCACCAAAGACTCAAGAAAAAGGATGAAAAAAACTACAGGTCAACACATGACTTTGAACAATGAGCAAATCCCATACTGTATGGTAAACTATAAAAGGCAAGGTAAATAACATGCATGTGGATGCTGAACTCTCCTTCTAACTTTTGTGTTGTAACTAATATTAAAACAAACTGTCAAAATCAACCAATATGGCGTGACCCACTATATCTGCACCAATCGCAAAAAACAACGAAGACACAAAGCACTATAAGTTGTCTTCCCTTCTCTTCATAAATATTTAGATGCAAACCTGCTATACCATGAATGAATTTTGGTAAGACTTCACACAAAGTTAGCCTTACATATGAAGGTGCTCTTGAATTTATTTTCTGTCTGTTAGGGGAGATATGGACTATTAATTTGTGAGCTTCAAGAAGATTTTTCACATTTATACAGAACAGGTAATAAAAATTGGATTGAAAGTAATAACAATTGGAGAGATACAGAATTAAACTGTCCAAATTAATTGACATCAACAGGAACTTATACAGTGCTTTTAGCTCACCAGGCCCTGTCCTCATCATCTACCCTCTTCAACAGTTAACTATTACAAAAATCTTCTTTTCTGAAACTAGTGAGCCTAATTGAACTTACCTTAGCCATATTCATCCTTATGGTATTTAGGTTACAAAATATGTCTGATGATCCTGTCTGCCAACGAACATGGCCACCAAAGCTAAAAAATAGAATAAAGGTTAAAATGGAAGTATTATTGATTACTTTAAAAACCATTGCAGATAGAAGAGAAAATCTGACAAGGATAGAATGCTCAGAATGACCAAAGTTGTCAAACATTCCTTATTGGAGTTATTCCCCTCTAATGATGATTTTCTGAAACATTTGAGTGTTTGCCTTTTATCTTGAAAATTATGATAGATGGAGAGAAACTTTACACAGCAAAACTGATCAGCATAACAAAAATGACAAATAAGTCAATCATGCAGAAATCATAAGTAGATTCATTATAGGAGTTATTGCCCCTTAAATGGCGATTTTTACCAAATTTTTACCCAATATTTTGAAAGCTATTGTAGACAAAAGGAAACTTTATAAAGTCTTCTGATAAGAAAAGCTATAGAAGATAGAGAGAAGCTAAACAGAAATTTGTTTCTCAGCAATACAAGAGGTCCGAGGACACAGTTATCGTCCTTAGATTTTCGTTGTCTACAAATATAGTCCCTAGTGTGGACAGTGTATAACTTGCAAATTTTGTTCATACACTTTCCAAATTTATTTCTTTATATTTTATGCATGAAATATAAAGTAAAGGGATGAAATTACATGTTAAAAAAATTTGGGTGCTGAATCTTTATGTTAAGTAGTGATTTGGTCCAGTTCAAAAAGGTCAAAAACTAGTATGTCTGAAGCTGTCAAACTGAATTTTAGACCCCCTTACCATAGAATTGTCAATATTTTGAGTTCGAGCTGGTAGACTTTTCTATAATTTTGATATTATTTGTCCCAATAGTAGTACACTACACTGTAAAAATCTTTTTGAGATAGAGCAGGTGCGATTTTTTTAATTTGAATTTATTGTCTAAAAGAAATGCACTACGAAATAACTGTGTTCTCGGGCCAAGATAAAAAAAAATTAATCATGAATTGTATTCTTGCCTATACTGTGGCCATTGTTGATGATTTAGAATGGTCCAGGTGAGCCACATAGGCTATATAAAGCTATAGTTTTTTTTACTGCTTGTTTCTATTTACCAAAGATAAGTTATTTTCAACACCAGTACAGTTATTATAACTTGGCATGTATATCATTTATAACAAATGTAAATGTAAGAAAATGTGAGTTATATGCCAGTGGGACAGCAACAAAACAAATAACTTTCACTGTAAATAATTACAATCAAACAAAGACTTGTTTATATTAGGATACAGCTTTGTTATATGTTGTACTACTCTGTTTACAGTTTTACAGATTTCATTAAACCTAACAGGAAACAGCAGTTCTGATGGAAGAATTGTGTTGTATGTTGGTGGAATAGAGGGATCAATCTGTGATGATGAATTTGATGATAATGATGCCATTGTTATCTGCAGAATGATTGGATATCACAGGTATCTTTCGTGTAACATAGAGAATGATTGGATATCACAGGTATCTATCATGAAACAGAGAATGATTAGATATCACAGGTATCTTTCATGTAACATAGAGAATGATTGGATATCACAGGTATCTTTCATGTAACATAGAGAATGATTGGATATCACAGGTATCTTTCATGTAACATAGAGAATGATTGGATATCACAGGTATCTTTCATGTGACATAGAGAATGATTGGATATCACAGGTATTCTTTCCTGTAACATAGAGAATGATTGGATATCATAGATATCTTTTAAGTAACCTGTATAATGATGGAATATCACAGTTATCTTTCATGTAACATAGAGAATGATTGGATATCACAGTTATCTTTCATGTAACAAAGAGAATGATTGGATATCACAGGTATCTTTTAAGTAACCTGTAGAATGATTTGATATTACATATTTCTTTCATGTTACCTGCAGAATAAATGGATATCAAGAGTTTCTATCCTGTAACCTGCAGAATAACCTCAACCTCATTTTATGGATGATTGATCAAGGTTAAGTTTACGTGGTCAAGTCAGTATCTCGGATAAGCAATAGATCAACTATATTTGGTGTATGGAATGATTATATGGTGTACATGTCAGACATTTTCATGGTTCATTAGTCTTGTTAAGTTTTAATGTATTTGTCAGTTTATCAGATACTTAAATCAATAGATCAACTATATTTGGTGTATGGAATGATTATATGGTGTACATGTCAGACATTTTCATGGTTCATTAGTCATGTTGAGTTTTAATGGGTTTGTCAGTTTATCAGATACTTAAGGCAATAGGACCACTATATTTCGTGTATGGAATGATTGTAAAGTGTATATGTATGTCTGGCATGGTTCATCTGACCTTGACCTCGTTTTCATGTTTCATTGATAATGTTAATATAAAAATAAGAAGATGTGGTATAACTGCCAACAACACTATGAAACAACACTCCACCTGAGACCAAATGACATAAAAGTTATCAACTATAGGTCACTGTATGGCCTTCAACATTGAGCAAAACCCATACCGCATAGTCAGTTATAAAAGGTCCCAAAATGACAAATGTAAAACAATTCAAACAATAATACTAACGGCCTGATTTATGTACAAAACAATGAACGAAAAACAAATATGATATACAGCAACAAACAACAACCACTGAATTACAGGCTCCTGACTTGGGACAGGCACATACAAAGCAGAAAATAAGTAACTAAAACACAGACCAGATGTGGCAGGGTATTTATACATCCCCACAACAAAAAAGACACTACGTACAGATCTGAGAGTATTAGCAGCTACTGACAGCTAGTTGAAAGTTATATGATACTTGTTTAAACATGAATTCAATCACAAGTAAAGAAGGCGAGACATTTCAGTTTGTGCACTCTTGTATTTAAAGGATTTTAGGGTTGCAGACATTGTTGTCAGTATCCATGGTGAGGGTATAATCAAGATTTGAAAAGACATCTTACGTTGTACAGAAATCTCTATACACTGCTGTATTGCAAGTCTCATTACATTTAAAATCTTTGAAATATGCTTCATGCCCTGAAATGGACAGATTTGGTGAGCAGACTCGACTACAGTTTCAATGGAAGAGTAATAGACATTATTGTCAGTGTAAATTGTTAAGTACTGGAGATATTTGGATAGAATTAGCATTACTGTAATTTATGTTTCAGTGGTAGGGCATTAGACAATACTGTGGGTATGTTTGGTGAAGGTACTGGAGAGATTTGGATTGACAACCTGCGCTGTTCTGGTACAGAAACTTCTATACTACAATGTAGCTATACAACTATACATGATTGTTCTCATTCAGAAGATGCTGGGGTTATCTGCGAAAAAGCGCCACCTACTGGTATGTTTGTTCTGTACCATATTGACATAAGGCTGTTAAAAAATCTTTCATTGATAATGTTATCTTTATTGGATTCTTGTGCCCATTAGGTATAAAACCACTAATTCATAGCCCCATTGCTTTCTATGTTAAATTCTGCAATTTCAAGCATTAATGGCTACTTTGTCTTAAGTTCAAATGAAGTAGCAGTTATTTCATGTCAAAACTATACCTTATCCTGACTTGTGCTGAAAAATTCAACATACCTTTAATTGCATATTAGAGCGTACTGGTTCCGGGAAGTTTGATAGTACAAAAACAGGTACTTCTAATCAGAACAACAGGGCAAATGAGCCCTCCTATAAAAATTGTATATACTTCTTTATTATTCAAAAGAAACTTTCAACAAGGGTTCTACAGTGATCCCAAGTCCCCAAGCTTTCATTTGATACCAAAACTACCCAAATATTCCACCTATTGACAAAGATACAGCTATGCGTAGGAACTATTTTGTTTAAAATATGTACTACTTTCTTGTATGTTCTTTCCGACCGGGCCTTAATTAGTGGTTCTATACCTATAACAGCACCTAACTTGTTATATTGACTTCTGCTTGACTTAACTTCCTTCTATGATCTATTTCTAGCATAGAAAAACACATAAAGCTTTAGTCAAAACACATAAAGCTTTAGTCAAAACACAATATCACTGAATTCAAGCTCAAATTGGACTGGTAGTAACATATGCGTTATACAAAGAAAACTCCATAGGAATACTAATAGTGACAGATATGACATTTTTTCAATGTTTACCAGTTCTTATTTGTTAATATCTACTCAAATAGCAGTGTCCTTACATATTTGTCTTATTTTTATCAAAGATTCTTCCTTGAATATAAATACAGTGGTCCAAACATAAAAAATAATAGATAATTTTGACCCCCCTTTTTTCTACATGTTGAAAAAGGAGAGTGATTTGGTAAAAACCATACTTTTATGTATAAACATGGATCAAAAAGAGCAATTTATGTATCTCGCAGCTAGACAATTTGCTAAACTGGTTATAAAATGCATTTCAAGTGAGATTTTGGAAATCCTATATAAGTATACATCAATTTCATTTGAAAATAAATGATTCACTAAGAAACTCAATAAAACATGAACACTCACTAGATAATTTGACCAAAAGCAATATTTATACTACTAACTAGTCATAATATACATGTTTCATTGGTTTCAGTCTAAGGTAATGGAAAAATTTAAACTTCAGGTAAAATCTTAACTGTGTGCATGCTAAATGCTCAAAAAAGGCTGAAATACCTTATTGTAGCAATTTGAGGGTTGTAATTTGACACCAACATAATTGGTACATCAAAAAAATAATGTAACATGATAACTGACAACAAATGTGACTAATTTTCATTGTAAAGGGTATGATTTCTAAAAATAGAATTTCACATGCCTTTCAGTAATAGGTATAAAACCACTAATTCATAGCCCCATTGCTTTCTATGTTAAATTCTGCAATTTCAAGCATTAATGGCTACTTTGTCTTAAGTTCAAATGAAGTAGCAGTTATTTCATGTCAAAACTATACCTTATCCTGACTTGTGCTGAAAAATTCAACATACCTTTAATTGCATATTAGAGCGTACTGGTTCCGGGAAGTTTGATAGTACAAAAACAGGTACTTCTAATCAGAACAACAGGGCAAATGAGCCCTCCTATAAAAATTGTATATACTTCTTTATTATTCAAAAGAAACTTTCAACAAGGGTTCTACAGTGATCCCAAGTCCCCAAGCTTTCATTTGATACCAAAACTACCCAAATATTCCACCTATTGACAAAGATACAGCTATGCGTAGGAACTATTTTGTTTAAAATATGTACTACTTTCTTGTATGTTCTTTCCGACCGGGCCTTAATTAGTGGTTCTATACCATTAGGATAACTATATTTGTCCCAGTAGTGTTAATATACCCCATTCGAAGTTGTGGGTGTATATAGATTTTGAATTGTCTGTCCATTCATCTTGGTTTCCAGATGATAAATCAAATAATTTATATCAGATTGCAACTTCATTTATTTTTTCGACCAATTTGGATTGATTGAGGAAAAATTGTATTATGTGGATATATGATATTAAAGTTTTGCCAAATTCTGCACTCAAGCCGATAGAACTTCATGGATATTTGATATCCACTTTTTGTTTAAGTCTGCATATGTAACCCCATGGAAAATGTGTCCTTTCTTTACCCATGAAATCTACGAAAATTGATATCCAACGAATAATAATGAATTCACAGTTCTTAAAATTAAAAATGTGTACTAATACATGATACAAATGTGTATTGTAAACCAGTCCTGTTTACAGCATTTCCCTGGTTGTCAGTGCCTGACATGAAGTATGGTTGCAATAAATTCTTAGTGTTTGAACAGGAATCAAATAGGCTGATCCATATAAAAAAAATTCTATTAGACAGTAGGCAAATTTGACCCATAATGGGAAAAAATTATCTCTGTGGTTACAGAAATGAAAATTCTATAGACTTCGCCAGTTTTATATACTTCCAAAATAGAGCTTTATGACCTGTAATTTCTATTTCAAAAAGTGTTTTAGAATTAGAATATCAGCATAGGAAATGCATGACATAAACAGATAAATGCATTTATGTCTGAAAGTGAGACTAAAAATTTCTTGAATCATAAAATGAGGTAAGCATTAATTTTTAAAACTAGCATCTTTACAAATAGTCCTCTAAAACAAAATGTATGAAATGTTGTCGATTATTTATCATGCCATAAAGCCCTATGTTTAAATTTGAAAATTAGTTGTTTCTTAGTCTAGACTGTTAGATAAAAGTCAAATGAATAAGCATGTATAATATTTTTTAAACAGATATTCATATTCAACTTGTGAATGGCAGGGGACCTAATTCAGGTCGTATAGAGGTGACAGTCAATGGAACGGTAGGAGGTATATGTAGAGATGACATCGGAACATCAGAGGCAAGAACTATATGTCATTCCTTAGGATACAGGTATGTTATCATATAATCAGCAGAATTCACTCATAAGAAGGAATTTGTAATTGGTCTTAAGAAGCATTTTCAAAATATTCCTTTTAGTAAATGCAATAAAAATGCTGGTAAATAAAAATAACACATTATAAATATAATGTCTACAGTGCTTTTCTGTGGCAAATACCAGCAAGAAATTGAACAAATTTTATAAAAATTTCTTACCTAAATGGAATTCTTGAAGAAAAGAGTTATAGAACATTACAAACAATGATACACTTTGTAGATCTTGACAAGTCCTTTATAGAAGGATGACAGTACTTTCATATCTTTGAATAAATATATATGTATATGTTTTTTTTTCAGTGGAGTAGACATTTTAACAACAACATATAGTATTAACAGTAAGTGGTTGGGAGGAATTCACTGTTTACAGAACGAAACATCATTAGCTGAGTGTGTCAGTAATCAAGGTCTACAGCCATACTGGCATGAGTCATGTGACAAATTTGGGTCAGCTTTACTTAGCTGTACTGTTTCAGATACTACTACAAGTACTACGTATACAGTCTCAACAACTGTTCAATCTATACCAGGTAGGAATAGTCATAATAAATTTTCAATAGTGGGGGCATATTATTTTCCCGTCTATATGTCCATTCAACAATTAAACAGTCCGTCTGTTTGTCTTTTTGTGCATTCATCACTGAAGTACCAGGTTAAAATTTTGATTTCAGATAGTTTGCACTGAAGTTGTGATCACGATACAATACAATAACATTGAAAAAGTTTTGATAAAAGTTCAGGATTTTGTTTGAATAAAATCTCAGTTTTGTAAATCAATTAAGCAATATCTGTGGTGTTAATCGCTAGGGGCAAAGTCCCAAGAATGTGTATAATCTGATTTTCATCCATTTAATCTTTCTTTAAATTTTTATACGACCGCAAAAAAAATTTGCGGTCGTATATTGGTATGACGTCGGCGTCGGCGTCGTCTGAAAACACATTGGTTTTCGCACTCTAACTTTAGTTTAAGTGAATGGATCTCTATGAAATTTTACCATAAGGTTCAATACCACAAAAGGAAGGTTGGGATTGATTTTGGGGGCTATGGTACCAACAGTTAAGGAATTAGGGGTCAAAAAGGGGCAAAAAATAAGCAATTTTGTCTCGCCTTGACGGAGTCAAAAAGCGAGACATAGGTATGCTGTTTCCGGCGTTGGCGGCGGTGACGGCAACGGCGGCGTCAACAATATATTAGTTTGTGATTAGGTCTAGTTCATGGTGAACCACTAGTGGTAGGTCAATGATATTTGGTATGCAGTTGTGTTAGCATTGGCACATCTCATTACCATGGAGATTATTTGGCCCCGCCCCCTCATTCAAGGTCTATTGACTTTGAAACTTTTCATAGTTTACATGTATTAGTTTGTGATTAGGTCAATTTATGGGGAACCACTAGTGGAAGTTCAATGATATTTGGTATGCAGTTGTATAAGCATTGGCATATCTCAGTTCCATGGAGATTATTTGGCTCCACCCCCTTAGTCATGGTCTATAGACTTTGAAAATTTTGCTAAGTTAACATGTATTAGTTTGTGATTAGGCCAGTTCAAGGGGAACCATTAGTGGTAGGCCAATGTTAATTGGTGTTCAGTTGTATAAGCATTAGCACATCTCATTTTCATGGAGAATATTTGGCCCTGCCCCCTCAGTCATGGTCTATTTACTTTGAAACTTTTGCTTACTTTACATGTATTAGTTTGTGATTAGATCAGTTCAAGATGAACTGCTAATGTTAAGTCAATGATATTTGGTATGCAAATTTATTGGCATTTGCAAGTATCGTTTCCATGGAGATTATATAGCCCCACCCCTGATCATGGTTCATTGACTTTGAAACTTTTACATAGTTTACAAGTTAATGTTTGTGCATAGGTTTGTTTAAAGGGAACGACTTATAATAAGTCAATGGTATTTGGTATGCAGTTGTATTAGCATTGGCACAGATTGTTTAGCCATGTACCTTCAGTCATGGTTCATCGACTTTGAATATTTGCATAACTTACATGTTAAATTATTGCTATTTTAATTTCAACATTTGCATTATCAAAATTACAAAAAGGCGAGACATATCTCTGTGATAACAGTTTATTGTAACTTCCAGACATAACTTGTGTGTTAGTGTATGGATCTGTCTGACATTGTACCACAAGGTTCCATATCACAAAGGGAATGCTAGGATTGATTTTCGGGGTAACTGCCTCCAAATTTTGGAATTAGGGGCCAAAAAAGGGGCAAAAAAAAGAGCATTTTTCTAGTTTCATGACAATAACAATACCACAAAAGGAAGGTTGGGATTGATTTTGGGGGTTATGGTACCAACAGTTAAGGAATTAGGGGCCAAAAAGGGGCCAAAAATAAGCATTTTTGTAACTTCCAGACATAACTTGTGTGTTAGTGTATGGATCTCTCTGACATTGTACCACAAGGTTTCATATCAAAGGGAATGCTGGGATTGATTTTGGGGGTAATTGCCTCAAAATTTTAGGAATTAGGGGCCAAAAAAGGAGCAAAAAACAAGCATTTTTCTAGTTTCATGACAATAACTTGTGTGTAAGTGTATGGATCTTTATGAAATTGTACTACAAGGTTCCATATCACAAAGGGAAAGCTGGAATTGAGTTTGGAGGTAATTGCCCAAAACGTTTAGGAAATTAAAGCGGCCAAAAAGGGGCCAAAAATAAGCATTTTTCTAGTTTCCAGACAATAACTTTTTTTTAAGTGTATGGATCTCTCTGAAATTGTACTGCAAGGTACCATACCACAAAGGGAAGGCTGGGATTGATTTTGGGGGTAATTGCCTCAAAATTTTTAGGAATTAGGGGCCAAAAAGGGAAAAAAAAAACCAAGCAATTTTCTAGTTTCCAGACAATAACTTGTGTTCAAGTGTATGGATCTCTCTGAAATTGTACTGCAAGGTACCATACCACAAAGGGAAGGCTGGGATTGATTTTGTGGGTAATTGCCTCAAAATTTTAGGAATTTGGGGCAAAAAAGGGGCAAAAAACAAGCATTTTTCTAGTTTCCAGACAATAACTTGTGTTCAAGTGTATGGATCTCTCTGAAATTGTACTGCAAGGTACCATACCACAAAGGGAAGGCTGGGATTGAGTTTGGGGGTGATGAATCATAAGGGGGTTCAAAAAATTTGGGGGGAGATTTTTTTTTCCTTTTTTTTCTTTAAAATTTTCCATTTTAAATTGGTTATTTCTGATTTATATATAAAAGCAAATAATAATGATATGGTTTGAATAGGTAAATTAAATTTTTTTAAGTTCTTAGACCACATTCATTCTGTGTCAGAAACCTATGCTGTGTCAAATATTTAATTATAATCCAAATTCAGTGCTGTATCAAGCTTGAATGTTGTGTCCATACTTGGCCCAACTGTTCAGGGTTCGACCTCTGCGGTCGTATCATGCTGCGCCCAGCGGAGCATTTTATTGATACTTACTTGGGACTTGTTTGATTTTTTTATGAATTTTCTGACCATATTTATACTTTTATACTTCTACCAGCTTCATTTCAGTAATCAGAAGCCTTTTATGCTAAATAATTATCAAACTGTCATTTATTATTTCTAGATTTTTTTATCAATAAAAAAATGACATTACAAATGCTTTATCCTTAAACATCTCATTGGTTGGTGGTTGTTTCAGAATCTGTAACAGTGCAGCTGATTGGTGGAGATTCTGACAAGGAAGGCAATGTTTTATTGACCTATGGAGGACAGACTGGTACCATATGTGATGACTTGTGGGACAATAATGATGCTACAGTTATCTGTAGAATGCTGGGATACAGGTAATTATGATTTTTTATAGCACAAAAGGCAGTGGTGTTTTGCATTTTTGTTAAAAGGTACCAGTAATAGCAGACTTAAAAACAGGTAAATCCTGGTCAATGTAATACAGCTTTATTCATGGTCCATAATAATAAGATTTGGCACACAAAAAGGCTCTCAAACCAGGGGGAAAAACTCATCAAAAGCTTATGATTTTGTAGATGCATGTTTCTTCTACAGAAAGAATCATCAGTGACGCTCAAATAAAAAAAGTTAAAAGGTCAAATAAAGTATAAAACTCCAATACAATACTCATGTCAGGAGCCAAAGGTCAATCTGTAAACCATAACTTGACAATCATTATACAAATCCTTAAGTCAGGTTATGTTTCAAGATAGTACTGGAGTTTTAATGACAAGGTTATGATGTGACACATCACCTGAGTAACCACTTTATTTGTTCAATGTATTCTTCCTTCATTTTTGATCAACTTGAAACATTTGAACTAAAATAGTCTTTCTCTAAATAAGAAATGTTTTGGAAATATATTTTATACCAGATGCATACATTGATGTAAAATTGATACAATTTTGGGCTTCATACATGGTTTTTCATCTCAGGATCAGGGCTTCCAAAAACATTTGAGCTAGCTGGACATTTTTTGTCTTATCCCGATTTTAATCCCTTAAGACTTAGTAACAAAAGGCAACCATGGTAATCAGTTGGGCATCATATAAATTATGATTGACACAAAAATGATATATAACTTGACTTTTGATATAAATTCGATGTTGACTTGACAATGGTAAAACACGGACCAAGAACGGGTACTTAAAATCTGTGTACGCTTACATAGCACCATTGAGTTTAAGTAGCTCTGTTATTTCTTCAGGAAAATACTTGAAATGAACATTAGATAAAGGTACCAATGATAATTTTAGGTTATGTAAAAATTCGGATGCATAATTAAATCTCACACATGTGCACTTGTGTTTTAGTTCAAACGACATGGTTCTGACTTTTTTCACTTAAAACCTTTATTACTACCTTTTTAAATTTTACATCAAATCATATTTATATACATATTTTTGATAATCTAAATCTTTTTCATTAAATTAATTAGATGCAAACCGCTGAAATTTAAGAAAATAAATTTTAATAGACCGATAAATGTCCTGTACAAAATAGTTTACCTGTCGCCTGAACAGGTAAATTTAAACTGTCAGAGAACTAATTAACCTTGACTGTAATGAGAGGGTATCAAAGTAGAGTTTGTTTTGATCGTGTAAGACCCTCAGGGGTAGTGAAGGTCGTTAAAAAAAGCCTTGTCATAGTAATTATTCATCATGTCACTTTTATGACTGGAAATGTGTGGCTGTTTAAGGCAAAAGGTCAGGTCAAAAAGATTGCATAAACTTTAATTTTTATTCCCCCACCGTAGTGGAGGGGGCATTAGATTTTACTCTTGTCTGTCTGTACGTCTGTCTGTACATCCCTCTGTATGTCCCAAAATTGGTTTCCATTCTTTAACTTTAGTTTGACTTAAATAAAATGTTATGAAACTTATACACAATGCTAATTAGCCTAATTACCACAAGATACAGATCAAGTTTGAATTTTGGTGGCGTCACTTTTAATGTTCTAGAGTTATGCCCCTTTACAAATGGAAAAATTGCTGAATCTTTCCGTTCTCTAACTTAAGTTTGCCTCAACCAAATGTTATGAAACTTATACACAATGCTTATTACCACAAAACTCAGATCAAGTACAAATTTGGGTAGCGTCTATTTTACTGTTATGAGTTATGTGGATTTATATCGTTATATGCAAGCAGGGGCATCATCTGTGTCCCATGGACACATTCCCCATTCATTTTCTCTCTGAATTATGTTAAAATGGCAAACCCATGTTATATGTCTATTTCAGGCTTGGCACAACAAGTCATACATATAATTTACTGGTCAAGTCTGGACAATACAACCGTTTTAGAAGCCTTGCTCAGGATATTATTACAAGAAAAGGGATAATTTTATTTTTTTTTGGTCCCAGCTTTGCTGAGTTGGGTGCATAAGAGTATTGTGTACCTTGCTGTTCTTTGGTATGTCAGCTTGAAAGTATTGGTACACATTATATTTATATAATTGCAACCATTTAGAGCTGAAGTTTTGATACAGATCAAAATATATTTTCAGCTATGGGAGTGCAACCAATGAGAGCCATTTTGGTATTGGAACAAATGAGATATGGCTGGATGATGTACAGTGTTCAGGGGAGGAAGGTTCAATCCTGGAATGTCCAAATGCAGGATGGAAGATGAATAATTGTGGAAGAGTTAGAGAAATAGCTGGTGTTAAATGTAGTGATGATGGTATCCATGTCACTATGAGTATGTTAATGTAATGATTGTAATCTTGTAAGCTTGAAAAATAGGGGAAAATAGAAGTGGGTTTATTTCATCAGCAACTACCAAGCCTTTTGGTAATTAGATGTTGGTGAATAAGTTTTATGATAGGCTGAGAAAGTTACTTTTACTTAAACTAGAAACTTTCTGACAAAAAATACAAAAGAAAGGAAAATTGGTATGATATACCTTGATTTGTATTATGTTTCTTTAAGTTAGAGCAGTGAGATTCTTGTTATAAACAAATATATATGAATTATGATAATTCCTAAACCATTGAGAAGTCTAAAATAAGCATAAATTACCCATCTTTATTGTGTCTTTGCTAAATTTTACAACTGCCAAATCATATAATAATGCAATTTAGTTATTAACATTTTTAAATTTTTTTTTAAACAAAATAATTTTTAAAATGTTGTGTAATTAAATTGCACTTTCTATCACTATAAACAGAACCAAGTGACGATATATACATCTTAACATAGTAGTTGATGTGTGATTGTTTCAGATACTTATTACGTAAACTTAACCTTTTCAAAAAGGACATCTCTAAAATCTTTGTAGACGTTACAGTGAATTTACATGATGGCAGCTTTGAAGGTGAAGGTCGGGTAGAGGTTACCAGAGGTCATGAGACAGGATCAGTGTGTGACGATTACTGGGATTATAAGGATGCTAAAGTTGTGTGTAAAATGCTGGGATACAAGTAAGCAGAGGCTATTACAATTGATAGAATACAGATGATAAACTTTAAAATCTGTTACTGTTTATTAAAGAGAGCTTTTTACATTATGTTGTATGGAAGGAAATGCAACCTATTGGCATTGAAGCACTCTTATGATAAAAGACTGCACAAAAGATTAGAGAACCAATGCCCAGGTTAAGGGGAGGGTTGGAAACATGCTAACATTTTAATAAATCCTGCCACATTCTGTATGTGCCTGTCCCAAGACAGAAAACCTGTAATTCAGTGCTTGTTGTTTGATGCTTTATATTATATTTGTTTTTCGTTTGTTGTTTTGTACATAAATCAAGCCGTTGGTTTCTCATTTAAATTGTTTTATTTTTTGTTATGTCAGGGTCTTTTATGGCTTATTATATGGAATAGGTTTTGTTAATTTTGAAGGCTGTACAGCGACCTATAGTTGCTAAAATGTTCGTCATTTTATCTCTGGTGGATAGTTGTCTCATTGGCTATCATACCACATCTCCTTATTTTACAAAGACTAGAGGCTTAAATATGAGTCCTTTGTAATCATGTAGTAATCACTAGTAATTTTTGGGGCCCTTTATAGCTTGCTGTTTGGTGTGAGCCAATGCTCCATGTTGAAGGCCGTACCTTGACCTATAATGGTTTACTTTTATAAATTGTTACTTGGATGGAGAGTTGTCTCATTGGCACTCATACCACATCTTCCTATATCTATTTAAACATTATATGTTTTAGTGTTGGAATAGCAGTTAAGAATGCAGGCTATGGCTCCAGTACTGGTCCTATATTATTAGATAATGTGCAGTGCCAAGGATCTGAGAGTAATATTTATGACTGTGTACATGAGGGCTGGGGTAACAGTAATTGTGGTCACGAAGAAGATGCTGGTGTCATCTGTGGAACAGAAAGGGTTACAAGTTAGTACAATTATTCTCTAAGTCATTTTGATTTTCTTCATCACTTTTTTTAAGTCATAAACACTACAGTATTTGAGTTTGTGGTTGTGTTGTCTGTTGTACTGTCCAATATGTTGTGGTAATATTTTATGTTTTATTTGATTTTAAGGTCAATATTTGCTGTAAGAAGTTTTTGAAAAGTGCTGTATTTTGACTTAGTCACATCACAAAAGATTTGACCTGACAGTAGCAAGTTGAAATTGAGTTATCAATGACATTATGACTGGTTTAAAGTTGGTTGAATACAAAACAATGAATCTTAAAATTACTCAAAGAACAGCTATTTTTGTCGAGCCTCGAAGCTCGACATAGGGATAGTGATCCGGCGGCGGCGGCGGCGTTTGCTTACTTCTTAAAAGCTTTATATTTTAGAAGCTAGAAGACCTGGTTGCTTCATACTTTGTATATAGATGCCTTATGTTACGAAGTTTCCGTCTGTCATATGTCCATTGTCCTTGACCTCATTTTCATGGTTCAGTGACTACTTGAAAAAAAAGTCAACATTTTTTGTAATGTTAATTTCTTTCTTATTATGAGTAATAGGATAACTATATTTAGTATGTGCGTACCTTGCAAGGTCCTCATGCCCGTCAGACAATTTTCATTTGACCTCGACCTCATTTCATGGATCAGTGAACAAGGTTAAGTTTTCGTGGTCAAGTCCATATATCAGATACTATAAGCAGTATGTCTACTATATTTGGTATATGGAATGATTGTAAGTTGTACATGTCCAACTGGTAGGTGTCATCTGACCTTGACCTCATTTTCATGGTTCAGTGGTCAAAGTTAAGTTTTTGAGTTTTGGTCTTTTTTTCTAATACTATATGCAATAGGTCAACTATATTTGGTGTATGGAAATATTTTATGATGTACATGTTAGTCTCGCAGGTTTTATTTGACCTTGACCTCATTTTCACGGTTCATTTCTCAGTGTTAAGTTTTTGTGTTTTGGTCTGTTTTTCTTCAACTATAAGCTATAGATCAACTATATTTGTTGTATGGAAGGATTGTAAGGTGTATATGTCTGTCTGGCAGGTATCATCTGACCTTGACTTCATTTTCATGGTTCATTGGTCAATATTAAGTTTTCATGGTTAAGTTTGTTTCTTAGATACTATAAGCAATAGGTCAACTATATTTAATGCATAAATTGATTGTAAGGTGTACATGTCTGCCTGGCATGGTTCATCTGACCTTGACCTCATTTTCATGGTTCATTGGTCAATGTTAAGTTTTCTTGGTTAAGACTGTTTCTTAGAAACTATAAGCAATAGGTCAACTATGTTTGGTTTATTGAATGATTGTAAGGTGTACATGTATTTCTCGTTTGGTTTATCTGACCTTGACCTCATTTTCTTGGATCATGTTAAGTTTATGTGTTACTTGTAGTAAAGCTTTATATTTAGGACTATCAACATAAAATCAATGGTTAGTAAAGAAGGCGAGACATTTCAGTGTGTGCACTCTTGTTTGTATAAGACATTGTGTTTATTGCAGTCATAGGATTTATTGAAGAATACACCTACGTTTTGTTAAAAAATATAAAAAATCTGCAGTTTTATTGAAAATTTGAAAGGAGGATATGATATTATGATGAGAGTCATTATTTGAAATTTGAAAATTAGGAAAATTATTTAAGCCCTTCAAAATTATGCTGATTTCATTGATAAATTAACAGGTTGCTTTAGAATAGACACTTGAGTGCCAAAAAGTCACTATGATGTCATTTAAAATATGTCAAAATTGACATTGAATCTAAAATGGCCATTACACAAGATTTTGTTTAAAGTAGATATGAGCCAAGGTTTACCCAACACATAAACATATTTATAAAATACATCTTGTAACAAAATATCTTTTTGAATCCAAAGATTCCAAGTGGCATTAAATATAAAAGTTGATATTCAGTAAACAGACTACTTAAATACAAGCTCTTCGGCGAGCTTTTCAAATTAGCTAAACTGGGCAAGGCACTTGCTCAAATGCAAATGAAGAATAAAGAAAAATTAAGCAAGGAGTAATTATATTTGACAGATACCAGCTTTATGTTTAAAAAAAAATGTTGTATATTTTAAGGAAAGGCAACAGTAGAACTTGTAGGAGGAGCCTCTAGGAATGAGGGCCGAGTTGAAATGATTTATGGTGGAGTTCGGGGAACTGTCTGTAATCAACAGTTTGATGATACCAAGGCAACCATTATCTGTAAAATGTTGAAATTTAGGTAGTTATTGACTTTAGACAGGAATACTTTATTGTTGGAAAAATGATTTAGTAAACTGGAATTTATATTTACAGTTTGACTTTACCTATGCGTCTATTGAGGACACAATTTTGGATATGTCACCTGTTTTAGGTTAATATCATATATTTTTAGCTCACCTGGCCCAAAGGGCCAAGTGAGCTTTTCTCATCACTTGGCGTCCGTCCGTAAAAATAGAACATAGGGGTAAAATGTAGATTTTGGCTTATATCTCTGAAACCAAAGCATTTAGAGCAAATCTGACATGGGGTAAAATTGTTTATCAGGTCAAGATCTATCTGCCCTGAAATTTTCAGATGAATCTGAAAACCCGTTTTTGGGTTGCTGCCCCTGAATTGGTAATTTTAAGGAAATTTTGCCGTTTTTGGTTATTGTCTTGAATATTATTATAGAAAGAGATAAACTGTAAACAGCAATAATGTTCAGCAAAGTAAGATCTACAAATAAGTCAACATGACCAAAATGGTCAGTTGACCCCTTAAGGAGTTATTGCCCTTTATAGTCAATTTTTAACCATTTTTCGTAAATTTTTGTAATCTTTTACAAAAATCTTCTTCTCTGAAACTACTAAGACAAATTTAACCAAACTTGTCCACAATCATCATTAGGGTATCTAGTTTAAAAAATGTGTCCGATGACCCGCCCGCGAACCAAGATGGCCGACATGGCTAAAAAATAGTTCATAGGGTAAAATGCAGTTTTTGGCTCATATCTCTGAAACCAAAGCATTTAGAGCAAATCTGACAGAATAAAATTGTTCATTAGGTCAAGATCTATCTGCCCTGAAATTTTCAGACCAATCAGGCAACACATTGTTGGGTTGATGCCCCTGAATTGGTATTTTTAGGAAAATTTTGCAGCTTTTGGTTATTATCTTGAATATTATTATAGATAGAGATAAACTGTAAACAGCAATAATGTACAGCAAAGTAATATCTACAAATAAGTCAACATGACCAAAATTGTCAATTGTCCCCTTAAGGAGTTATTGCCCTTTATAGTCAATTTTTTATAATTTTCATAATTTTTTGTAAATTTTTACAAAATATTTTCCACTGTAACTACTGGGCCAAGATCATTATAGATAGAGATAATTGTAAGCAGCAAGAATGTTCAGTAAGGTAAGATCTACAAACACATCACCATCACCAAAACACAATTTTGTCATGAATCCATCTGTGTCCTTTGTTTAATATGCACATACTGACCAAGGTGAGCGACACAGGCTCTTTAGAGCCTCTAGTTTTCTTTTAGAAATTGCAAACATTTTAAGGAGACTGAAAATAAAAAAATTTCTAAGAAATGTCAAATGATTTTCTGTCACCAGTCAAATAAGCTGTGATTTTCTGTCTCAAATAAGCTGTGATTTTCTGTCACCAGTCAAATAAGCTGGGATTTTTTTCTCGAGTCAAATAAGATAAGCACTGTGTACTAAAGACACACTTATGTTTAATTCAGAGATAGATTAATAATTAGTATTTTGTATATGACTACATGTGAGTCAACTCTTGGAAATTTTTTGTTAAAATCAAGAAATATCTACCAACATTTTACTTTTTTATTTCTTGAAAATAATCATTTTAAATATTGTCCCCCAAAATTGGTAACAATTTCTATAGAGATGTTTTTGATGTGTTTGACAAAGAATTAATTCCCCTTCTATAACATAAATAATAACATAAATACCTGTAAGATTGTTAAAAATGTTTATTCTATTTTTTTTAAAACCTAGTATAGTGACTTTGATTCCTTTTAATTAATTTCAACTTATTGAACATTACAGTGCTGGAAAAGTTCTGCCTACTGGTAAATTCAGTGCTGGACAAGGAATGATTTGGGCTGCAGAGAAGTGGGAATGTCTAGGTACTGAGGATAGAGTAGATGAGTGTACTAATTTCCCAGGTATAAAATCCAGCTGTGACCATACACAAGATGTTGGTGTTTTCTGTCATCATGAACCTGTGACCACAACCACCACCACCACCACAAAGAAACCATCTACTACATCTGATACAAAACCAGGTTTGTTGGTAACACATTAGTGTGACCTTTTTATACGACCGCAAAAAATTTTTGCGTCATATATTGGTCGTTGTCGTCTTCGTCGTCCGAAGACACATTGGTTTTCGCACTCTTACTTTAGTTTAAGTGAATGGATCTCTGTGAAATTTTACCACAAGGTTCAATACCACAAAAGGAAGGTTGGGATTGATTTTGGGGGTTATGGTACCAACAGTTAAGGAATTAGGGGCCAAAAGGGGCCAAAAATAAGCATTTTTGTAACTTCCAGACATAACTTGTGTGTTAGTGTATGGATCTCTCTGACATTGTACCACAAGGTTCCATATCACACAGGGAATGTTGGGATTGATTTTGGGGGTAATTGCCTCAAAATACTGTTAACCAACTAACTTTTGCGAGTGATTTATTTTTGCGACTTTTGCGAATAAAAAAACAACGCGAATATAAATCGTCGCAAATATGTAAAACTTGGATGTTTCCTAATTCAAATACATCAAGAAAACTTGAAAATCACGAACTTTTATCACAGCGAAGTGGACTAGAAAGAGCTAAACGCGAAATAAAGTATCTGCGAAAAATAAGTTGGTAAAAAACAAGCATTTTTCTAGTTTCATGACAATAACTTGTGTGTAAGTGTATGGATCTTTTTGAAAAATTGTACTACAAGGTTCCATATCACAAAGGGAAAGCTGGAATTGAGTTTGGGGGTAATTGCCCAAAACGTTTAGGAATAAAGGGCCAAAAAGGGGCCAAAAATAAGCATTTTTCTAGTTTCCAGACAATAACTTGTGTTCAAGTGTATGGATCTCTCTGAAATTGTACTGCAAGGTACCATACCACAAAGGGAAGGCTGGGATTGATTTTGGGGGTAATTGCTTCAAAATTTTAGGAATAAGGGGCCAAAAAAGGGGTAAAAAACAAGCATTTTTCTAGTTTCAGGACAATAACTTGTGTGTAAGTGTATGGATCTTTATGAAATTGTAATACAAGGTTCCATATCACAAAGGGAAAGCTGGGTTTGAGTTTGGGGTAATTGCCTTAAACGTTTAGGAATTTGGGGCCAAAAAGGGGCCAAAAAACAAGCATTTTCTAGTTTCCAGACAATAACCTTGTGTTCAAGTGTATGGATCTCTCTGAAATTGAACTGCAGGTACCATACCACAAAGGGAAGGCTGGGGTTGAGTTTAGGGTGATGAATCATAAGGGGGTTCAAAAATTTGGGTGGGATTTTTTTTTCCTTTTATTTTTTAAAGGCAGTGCTTTAGTGACTTTCTGGTTGCCGGGTTAATCTGTCCTTCCGCGATGTCCGACATATCTACATGGGGGGTCACTTGGCCATAATAAGATCCGGAAATGTTGATTTCTCTCCTGTTCTTTTTGTGATATAAAATGTTTTTCGTTTCATTTCATTTACATTGGGAAATAAAGAAACGATCACTGTGTTTTGTTAGTTTTAAAAACAAGCATTTTCTAGTTTCCAGACAATATCTTGTGTTTAAGTGTATGGATCTCTCTGAAATTGAACTGCAGGTACCATACCACAAAGGGAAGGCTGGGGTTGAGTTTAGGGTGATGAATCATAAGGGGGTTCAAAAATTTGGGTGGGGATTTTTTTTTCCTTTTATTTTTTAAAGGCAGTGCTTTAATGCCTTTCAGGTTGCCGGGTTAATCTGTCCTTCCGCGATGTCCGACATATCTACGTGGGGGGTCACTTGGCCATAATAAGATCCGGAAATGTTGAATTCTCTCCTGTTCTTTTTGTGATATAAAATGTTTTTCGTTTCATTTCATTTACATTGGTAAATAAAGAAACGATCAGTGTGTTTTGTTAGTTTTAAAAAACTTTTGATAGATTTGTATTTTGCATTATAAGCAGTCAACCGATTGACAAACTAGAATTATTTGAATTCCGTGTAGAAAGAGGTCGGGTTAATTTCGAGTGTAATCTGCAATTTGAGATGTTTTTAAATCATTTCAGTCGTTGATATAATAATGAATGGTCGACTGAATATGAATTATATTACATATTATACAATTTAAAGCGCATTTCGGTTTATGCACATGAAGCCGTAGGACGTTATTGTTTTCGATTTCGGTATTAGTTATGTGTGTTGTCTACGTATAAGCTCTTATATAATTTCCCGCCAAAATGACCGACTAACAGCTATGGGAAAATAGTTCAAAAACGTTCCATATGATAAAATGCAAATGCATAATTGATCGTAACTTTTTTTGATAATTATTTCTCAAAAGAGAATAACATTATTATACGAGGATTTGTCTAAATTTCTGCACTTCCGGGCGCAGTAATACGCAAATTTTGAAGGTCGTGACCTTTTTCAGTATCGCTTTAGTTTCGCATCTTTTAGCTAGTTATTGTTTGAAAAGAGCGTATAACTTTCATCAAATATTTTTATGAAATATGTATTGAAAATTTTAAATGAAATTGTTTTTTTAATTTGAAAATTTGATAAAGCTATAATATCTTCAATAAAGTTATACGAAAATAAAGCTTAAAATACGCGCTTTCATTTTATGTTGATTTTAAATGTGTAAACAAACGGGCGAAGGTGACAAATTTAGTCAGAACTCGAGATCGCTCCTAAATAACGCTGTCCATCTTTCATACCGCGTGTAAATTTCGAAAACATCGCTGAGTTTAAACATTCGTAAGGTATGTGTTTATGTACAAATGTTGAATAAAAAACAGATGAAATTAATCTGCAAATCAACTCATCATAGATACCAGGACTAAATTTTGTATATACGCCAGACGCGCGTTTCGTCTACAAAAGACTCATCAGTGACACTCGAATCCAAAATGTTAAAAAGGCCAAATAAAGTACGATGTTGAAGAGCATTGAAAACCAAAATTCCTAAAAGTTTTGCCAAATACAGCTAAGGTAATCTTTTCCTGAGGTAGAAAAGCCTTAGATTTTCAAAAATTCTAAATTTTGTAAACAGTTCATTTCCAAATGATGCTCTTTCGATTGCCGATTACAATTTTCGTAAACATATTTTAAGGGGAAAACAACTAAAATAGCATTTTAAAAACTTTATGCAAAAATCGTGACGTCTAACAGAAGGTTACACTACACATACACCAGGCTGGAGAGTATGTAAACAGAGACAGAACAATTAAGATGGATATAGATAATTAAAAACATTTAAAGTGTACAAAATAAAAAAAGATTCATTTCACACAATTAGTTGGTGGTAACTCAAAACACTGCAACGGTTCAAACTGGGTCAAGTCTAGTCCAAATAATTATGACCTCTTGAAAGGCTATTATATTTTTTTTTCTTTGACGACATCGCAGGAAGGCGTCAAAGCAAAAATTTAAAATAGCCTTCCAAGTCGTCATAATTATTTGCACTAGGTCAAGTCTAAAATATGTAAAAATATCCACGTCATTTTATGTAGAAAGTAACGTATGCAATACATCTACCATTTTCTCCTTCTTTTTATTCGTCGTCTTACCAGACAATGTTCATCTTACTCATCAACACAGGTTGTATGTACGTATCTTTTCTCGCGAAATGATGTTCTCTTGTTCATTATTAACTTTATTAATGTGTAATTATTTCTGAAGGCAGCAATTCTATACTGTAGAGTAGTACAATTTAAGTGTTACTAGAAAAGAGAAGATATATTATTACACAAGGCTCAATTAGTATTTTTTTTTATCCATCAAGACATGTAATTTGACCTAAATTGATACACACGCACTCGTGAATGCAAATTATCCGACATACATGCCAAGATTCAGTGACTGTGATAGCAACAACAAAACCAATAAAGAACGTGTGACATTGCTAGCTTCCTAATAAGAGTAAATTAAGTACAAGCGTACTATTGTAGTATTGATTAGAAGCAAGTGATAACTTCATGTCTTTCTAAAATACACATACAAAATATAATAGGACCAAGTATCCTCATAGTTGACAATACACCTTATCGCTATTTGGAAATCTGTCCCGCTTGACCCGAGAATCTGTCCCGCTTGGACCTTTGATGCATACAACAATCACTTTTCTATTGTGGTGTCAGATATTTTCTATTATGACGTCAAAATTTTACAGGAACTTTGGTGATGTCCAGAAATGGCGGACAAATAGCGATAAGGTGTATTGAAAATTACTAACACTAGTTATTGATCTATCTTGGAAAAAGTTTCTTGGAGTTATACTTGGAAATACTTTATACTTGGAAAATAAAATTTTGATTGGAGTAATAGTTTCTAGAAAAAGTATTGTCATGCTCATAAACATCAAAGTGCACTGAGGTTTAATACCAACATTCTTGTTGGCATACTTTAACATGAGCTGTGTTGCATATACATGGCATATAAACATTTGTTCACCGTATTTTTAAAGCTGTGGAATCCAAGGATAGCAGTTAAATACCATCATACATATATAAAATGATAGATAGACAAAGTCAGCTGTGCACGATAAGTTTAACAGGATTATTCTACATAGTTCTATGGTATCAAATCAAAAGTTTATATAAAAGAAAGAAGTCAAAGGTTTCCCATCATAGTTTAGTTACATACATTTTTTTGTACCTGAGGTTGTTGAATATAAATCATTATACAAATAAGGAGATGTGGTATGATTGCCAATGAAACAACTATCATCCATACTTACTAGTAACAAACCACATTTGCAAAGTTGAATAAAATACAGTTGATAACTGGTATTTATTACTAAAAAGAAAATGCCCAACTATATTAAACAGTATTTGACTATAAACATAGATAAACAAGGTACAAACTGGGCATAATGCACTAGTTCATAAACAAGTGAGAACAATCACCTTCATATAATGCTCAGACATTGCTTCATAAAACTTGTTCAATATCATTAGAGAACTCTAAATCTTAAATACTGAAAGCCACCTCTGATAAGTACACTGTACCATGCAAGATGATGATATAACTGGACTAAAAATACCCACAACCTGTAATTAACTGCCTTTACAGCGCTTTCGCGCTTTGATCTTTAAATTTTTCCATTTTAAATTGGTTATTTCTGATTTATATATAAAAGCAAATAATAATGATATGGTTTGAATAGGTAAATTAAAAAGTTTTAATCTCTTAGACCGCATTCATTTTATGTCAGAAACCTGTGCTGTGTCAAATATTTAATCACAATCCAAATTCAGTGCTGTATCAAGCTTGAATGTTGTGTCCATACTTAAGCTTGCCCCAACTGTTCAGGGTTTGACCTCTGCGGTCCTATCAAGCTGCGCCCAGCGGAGCATTTTATTAATTGTTTCTAGTCAAAAGTAAAATAACAAAAATACTGAACTTCAATGAGAAATCAAAACGGAAAGTCCCTTATCAAATGGCAAAATCAAAAGCTCAAACACATCAAACAAAGGGAAAACAACTGGATTATTCCTGACTTTGTACAGGTATTTCCTTATGTAGGTGGGTTAAATCTGGTTTTATAGCTAGCTAAACCTCTCACTTGTATGACAGAAAATTGGGTACAGCAGTCAACATGGTTATAATCTTAATCACTATAAAAAAAACAAACTATGTCAAAAGTAAATTAAACATAAACATATCTAATATAGACTGCAGTACTGATTTCAAAGGGAGATTATTTTACAGCAAAATGAATGATACGTAATTGTAATGACAAGCAAAACAAATGAGTGTGACTTTTTACTTGATTTTAGACATAAGTAAATACATGCATATGTAGATAAGTGATATTGAATATGTGTTCTTTCTTGATAACTGTAGTGCTTATTTCAAAGGGAGATAATTTCACAGCAAAATGAATGATATGTTATTTCTATGCAAAGCACTGCTAAGATATGCTCTCTTCCATATCATGTTTTCATAAAAAAAATTAATTAGACACAATTAAAAATCCAGAAACCAAAGGACAAGGATATATGTGAAAACAGTTTTAGGTTCAATCAAATCCATAAGAAAAATGCCTAAATTAAAAAAAATCAGTGAAATGGTTTATTTTAGCATATTCGAAAGGTTTTGTCTTTTGAGAACATATACCAATAGTGTATTAATGAATTATTTTAACAATGTTTGGAACAAATTACTTATATACTGTCATTAAGATAAAAATGTTCATATCCAAGTCCTGCATTTTTGAAAATTCTTGAAAATCTGTTGAATCAATAAAATCTAATTAAGAAAAAAGAAGTCAATCACAGGAACTGGATGGTACATGTAAGAATACATTTGATTAAACTGCAAGTGCTCTTTAGTAACAACCTTTCTCTATTGACTAAAACTATCAAAAGTTGATCAGTTTGAAGAGATGATTTCAAACTGCATTCGAAGAAACATTTTAACAAATTAGTTTTGTGAAAAGTCAAAGCCTTTCAAATATGCTTAAATAAACCATATCGCTGAATTTTTTTGAATTTAAGCATTTTTCTTTTGGATTTGTTGAGCATAAAATTGTTTTCATAAACATCCTCTTCCTTTTTTTTTTGGTTTCTGGTTGATAGTTGTCACATTGGTAATCATATCACATCTCCTTATTTGTATAAAAAATATTTTAGTTTCAGGCATTAAGGTAGAATTAGTAAATGGAAATGCACCAAACAGAGGCAGAGTAGAAATTATTCGCAATGGTGTAAGGGGCACTGTTTGTGATGATAGATGGGATGACAATGATGCTACTGTTATATGCAGAATGCTTGGATATAAAAGGTAAATCCAATTAATTTGCCTGTGATATATTATGATTGGTTTTATTTGTAAGTTTTTAATGTGTTAATTAGATTTTTCCTTGCAGGTGGTCCCAATTATAATCTAGAGGTCCCTCTACATAAAGACCATTACAGTGACCAAATGTAACTAAGTGTTCACACTTCCAGTGAAGTTATGTGTTTCCTATTTTAATTTTTAGATCACTTTGATATACAGTTCCCATTAGCCAAACAAGGTTATCAATATATTTCAAGGTCAAATTTTGTTACCTTCACCTCCTTAGTGTACTTTACAACTGAAACTTAATCAAAGTTGCACAGACTTGACAGGAGCAATTTGTCCTATTACCCTTTATTTACTTCATTCTTATGTGACATTTATTATATCAGAACATCGATCAACGATCTTATCAGAAGCAATTCTTAATGCTGATTGGATCATTGAAAAATATAACAATGAAAACATATTAAATTATATTGCAAAAACAACTTGATATAGGTTCTTTAGTTAATTTCTCCAGAGGGAGATCAACCACTTTGGAAGTGTATAAAGTTGACGTATAATTTACAGAGGAGGAACAGCTGTATCAGAAGCTATATATGGAGAAGGATCTGGTGATATTATACTGGATGATGTTGAATGTGATGGGGCAGAGACTTCTATAGAAGAATGTACTCATTCAGGATGGGGTGTCAGTAATTGTCATCACACAGAAGATGCTGGTGTCAGATGTATAGCTGATAAACCTACAACTGGAGGTGATGACTGGCAGGCCACGTTTGCTCCTGGTGAGTATAGATGACACAAAAACATCAGGAAATGATTCCTGGCTTTCAACATTCTCTGATGGTGAATATAGATAATAGACAGAAGGAACTAATAAGTGTCAGTCACATTTTGTCCTGGTGAGTAAAGATGATACTCAGACATCTAAGAGTGATGACTGGAAGGCTACAGTCTCACATGGTGAGTAAGGATGAAATGGTAGGCAACATAAAATGATGACTGACAGACAACTTTCTCTCCTGGTGAGTATAGATGATACACATACAACAAAAACTGATGACTGGGACACTTCATACTCTCCTTGCGAGTATAGATGGTATACAGACAACAGGAACTGATGACTGACACAATACATTCAACCCTGGTGAATATAGATGATATACAGACAACAGGAACTGATGACTGGCACACTACATTCACTCCTGGTGAGTATAGAGGATATACAGACAACATAAACTGATTACTGGCAGACTTCTTTCTCTCCTGGTGAGTATAGATGATAAACATACAACAAAAACTGATGACTGGGACACTCCATACTCTCCTTGCGAGTATAGATGGTATACAGACAACAGGAACTGATGACTGACACAATACATTCACCCCTGGTGAGTAAAGATGATATACAGACAACAGGAACTGATGACTGGCACACTACATTCACTCCTGGTGAGAATAGATGATATACAGACAACATAAACTGATGACTGGCAGACTTCTTTCTCTCATGGTGAGTATAGATGATATACAGACAACAAGAACTGATGACTGGCACAATACATTCTCTCCTGGTGAGTAAAGATGATATACAGACAACAAGAACTTATGACTGACACAATACATTCACTCCTGGTGAGTATAGATGATACACAGACAACAAGAACTGATGACTGGCACACCACATCCATGTCTGGTGAGTATAGATGATACATAAACAACATAAACTGATGACTGGCACACTACATCCATGTCTTGTGAGTATAGATGATATACAGACAACAGGAACTGATGACTGACACAATACATTCACTCCTGGTGAGTATAGATGATATACAGACAACCGAAACTGATGACTGGCACACTACATCCATGTCTGGTGAGTATAGATGATATACAGACAACAGGAACTGATGACTGACACAATACATTCATTCCTGGTGAGTATAGATGATATACAGACAACAAGAACTGATGACTGGCACACTACATCCATGTCTGGTGAGTATAGATGATACATAAACAACATAAACTGATGACTGGCACACTACATCCATGTCTTGTGAGTATAGATGATATACAGACAACAAGAACTGATGACTGACACAATACATTCACTCCTGGTGAGTATAGATGATATACAGGCAACCGAAACTGATGACTGGCACACTACATCCATGTCTGGTGAGTATAGATGATATACAGACAACAGGAACTGATGACTGACACAATACATTCATTCCTGGTGAGTTTAGATGATATACAGACAACAAGAACTGATGACTGGCACATAACATCCATTTCTGGTGAGTATAAATGATACATAGACAACAAGAACTGATGACTGGCACATAACATCCATGTCTGGTGAGTATAGATGATACATAGACAACAGGAACTGATGACTGGCACAACACATTCACTCCTGGTGAGTATAGATGATATACAGACAACATAAACTGATGACTGGCAGACTTCTTTCTCTCATGGTGAGTTTAGATGATATACAGACAACAGGAACTGATGACTGACACAATACATTCACTATTGGTGAGTATAGATGTTATACAGACAAAAAGAACTGATGACTGGCACACTACATTCATGTCTGGTGAGTATAGATATACATAGACAACAAGAACTGATGACTGACACAATACATTCACTCCTGGTGAGTATAGATGATATACATACAACAAGAACTGATGACTGGCACACTACATCCATGTCTGGTGAGTATAGATGATATACAGACAACAAGAACTGATGACTGACACAATACATTCACTCCTGTTGAGTATAGATGATATACAGACAACATAAACTGATGACTGGCAGACTTCTTTCACTCATGGTGAGAATAGATGATATACAGACAACAGGAACTGATGACTGACACAATACATTCACTCCTGGTGAGTATAGATGATATACAGACAACAAGAACTGATGACTGACACAATACATTCACTCCTGGTGAGTATAGTTGATACATAGACAACAGGAATTCATGACTGCCAGACTACATTCTCTCCTGGTGAGTATAGATGATACACATACAACTTGAACTGATGGCTGTTACAATACATTTGTTCCAGATGTTTAAAGACTATATACAGACATGAGAAACTAATGAATAGCGAATACTTTATTTTTTCATGGTTAGATAATATGATAGTCATTAGACTAGTTCCTTTTGTTTACTTGTAAACGGGTAAACTAAGTCATGGCTGTTGTTCTTGTGTCACCATGGATTGGTTTGGAAATTATTTTGCAGTTGTATTTCTGTATTTTAAGGATTATAAATGAGACTTGATCATTGCAAGATTTTGTATCCATTATGATTTTAATGTTTACTATTTGTATTATTTGTATTGTATGATATTTCAGTTTTCTGAAGGAGGTTAATCAAGGATAGTTGTTTAAGTGTGGAATATTAGTCATGATTTGACCCTCTGTTTAATTTAATTCAATCAAGTTAAAGATTAAAATAAGATTTTTTTGTTCAATCATTAATGAAAGTGAAATAGTGAAATAATTATTCGCTTTAAGCAGGCAGTTTAGTTCAATTTTGTCAAAATAAGCTAAGAAACATCACTGATGAATTATTCAATTGCAAGTGAATAATTCAACCTCATTGAATCCGTATTCATGTGACCTTCAATTTAACCCCTTAGCTAGAGATTAGTTACACATGTATATGTCATGTTCAGCCATTAAAAGGAAAAGAATGTCAAAATTGAAAGTGAAACAAAGGTGAACCACTTCGTTGACTGATTCCATCCACAAAAAATCATTCTTGTATAGGTAAAAACGATGATTAACCTATTTTTTAACCTATAACATGAAATCAAACAGACCTAGAAAAATTCAATTGCACGTGGTCACAATCTATTTGTTGTCGAGCCTGTGACTTCTGTCACAAAAGCAAGACATAGCGATCCTACATTCTGTCAGCAGCCGCGGCTTCTACAAATATTCACTCTGTGGTTAAAGTTTTTCAAATTTTAATAACTCTCTTATACTATCCTGCATTTCAACCACACTTGGACAGAAGCTTGTTTATGATCATAAGATAGTATCCAGAAGTAAATTTTGTAAAAAAAAATGCTGTTTATCCATATTTTACTCATAAATGGACTTAGTTTTTCTGCCAGTTAACATTACATTCACTCTGTGGTTAAAAGTTTTTCAAATTTTAATAACTTTCTTAAACTGTCCTAGATTTGTACCAAATTTGGACAGAAGCTTGTTTATAATCATAAGATAGTATCTAGAACAAAATTTTGTAAAAAAAAATACTGTTTATCTGTTTTTTACTCATATATGGACTTAGTTTTTCTGCCAGTTAACATAACATTCACTCTGTGGTTAAAGTTTTTCAAATTTTAATAACTTTATTAAACCATCCTGGATTTGTACCACACTTGGACAGAAGCTTGTTTGTGATCATAAGATAGTATTCAAAAGTAAATTTTGTTAAAAAAAAATCCTGTTTATCCATATTTTACTTATAAATGGACTTAGTTTTTCTGCCAGATAACATTACATTCACTCTGGTTAAAGCTTCAAAATTTTAATATCTTTCTTAAACTATCCTGGATTTGTACCAAAGTTGGACAGAAGCTTGTTTGTGATCAAAAGCTAGTTTCCAGAAGGAAATTTTGTACAAATTTATTTCCTGTTTTTCCGTATATTACTTATGAATGGACTTAGCTTTATTCCAGTTAACATTAAGTACAGTCTGCAGTTAAAGTTTTTAAAACATTTATTAGATTCATAAACCTTCTTAGATTTTTACCAAACTTGAACAGAACTTCTTACAATCAAAAGATATAGTATCTAGAGGAAAATTTTTAATAATTTTTTCCCCATTTTTGTTGAGCCTGCAACTAACAGCAAAAGTAGGCGAGACACTGGGTTCCACAGAACCCTTACAAATTTTATTTATTTTTATGTTTATTTTGGGTTATGTGACTGCGGCAGTCTTCAGAGGTCATTTCGATGGATAATTAGATGGCGTCTAGACTAAAATACACACAGAATGTGGATATATTTTATCGAGTCCATGCATTGTTAATTGTTTATTTCACACTTATTGTAATTTGGATATACATTTTAGTATGTTATAAATCAAATATGAGAATTTGAGTCAAATCGGTGAACATGAATTGGACAGCTAATGCCCCTTTAAAACAAGAATTTTAAAATCTTGAACAATTTGATTGCTGTTATCATTCAATGTAACTTGATTTACACAGATTGGAAATTTCTGTTGATTTAAATTCCTTAAAAACTTAAAACTACAGGCAGTAGTGGATATCTGAAAACTCATTTGTATTTATTGCATCACATCTCCAGTTATTTGAAAATATACTATTTAATTTATATATAATATTTAATGATTATCTTACAGATTGTGGGAAACGTCCAATAGAAGACCGACACATTAGAAAGAAAAGACAGACACCACATCTTGGAGAAGCTACTGTACTTGAGCGTCCACAACCAGCTAAAATAGTCTATGGATCAGCAGCGGAATATGGAATGTACCCTTGGCAGGTTGGAGTCCGGAAGATTTATTATTATGATTATTTTTCCAGAAAGAAAATCTCCAGTGTATGGTGTGGAGGGACAATTATCAATAAACATTGGATTCTCAGTGCTGCTCATTGCTTTGATGGGTGAGTATTGTATTCAGAAAAGGTACCATGATAGATTGGTGATAGAGTTGAGTGGTTAGCTATGTTTTTATATATTTTGTCTCGCTTTGTTGCCCTTATCATATATTATCATGCTTGAAATAGCATCTATTCAAGCAGCTGAATCATACCACTCATTACATAGTAAGTGCCCCCACACATCTGAGACTCTATCATTTAAATAAATGTGTTTTTGTTCACCAGCAATCAGTTTTGCTATTGTAGTGTTGTAAAGTTGATTTTTATACCCCACGCAACAAGTCCATCCGTCCGTCAGTCCTTCAGCCTGTTCTTGTTGTCACAACTCCTCTGAAATCACACTACAGAATTTCATGAAACTTTGTCGATTGGAAGGACATACTATGTAGATGTGCATATTGACAGTAAATTATGATTCAATTTTTTTTCTACGAGTTATGCTCCTTTGAACTTAGAATTTTTGCCTAAATGTACTGCTGCAACAGTTTGTCATCGCAACTCCTCTGAAACTGCACAACAGAAATTCATGATACTTTGTAGTTAATGAGGACACATTATGTAGATGTGCATATCGACAAGAAATTATATCAGATGGCTTTTTTAGGAGTTATGAGTTTTGAACTTAGGAATCTGGTGAGATTTTGTTTGCCCAGTGACAATGTTGGGCTGGGGTTTGTTAGCGTGCTCACAAAGGTTCTTTAATCAGTCCAGTCCTCTATAAGAAAGGTAACAGACCAATAACTTATATATAGCCCATGGTTTCAAGTATGACCTGGGTCTATCTTAAAAATGTCTTACATCCTAAATATGATTGTCTGCAAGTGTAAACATGTTTTAATTCAAAGCCTCATATGATCACTGTGAAACTTTCTGGATTGCATATATCTCTTTTTAGTGAATTTATTGATAAAACAGTTTTACTTGCCAAAATTTAGTTTATTAAAGATTAACATTTTTTATACGTGAATACTGGTAAATTTATTGCAAGAACATGTATGATCCTAATATTCAAGAAAAATTTGAATAACTGAGGACTTTAGAAACTTTTACATAGCCAGTCATATCTGAAGTTTGAGATAACAGAGTAATTGTTTAGACTTACATAGCCAGTCATATCTGAAGTTTGAGGTAACAGAGTAATTGTTTAGACTTTTATTTACAGTGTACTTAAATCCAAAATAACCATAAGGACAGGGGATCACAACCACAAGACATTGGATGTTTATGAACAAGAATTTGACGTAGAAGCTGTTCTCACTCATGATCAGTATGACTGTAAGTATATGAAAGTGTCATGAAATAGAAGTTCCTTCCTAATAATATACAAGTTCCAAAGGAAAGAAATGTTCTGTAAAATTATTTCCATTAAACAAATTTAGGAACAAATACTGTAATATTTTTTCCTAACAGAATACAGATTATAGAATATTTGTTCCGTCAAATAACAAAGTTTACCATGACACTTTTGGTAGGCGGAACAAATCAATCAATGTTTACTAAAGTATTCATTATAATTAATCTCTTGTTTTAATATTTCATTCATATTCATTTTGTTCAAAAATATAATGGATATCAACTAAGTTCTCATAGAAGCACAGTTTACATTTTTCCTATATAAAACCTAATATGTGACAGAATTTGAGGTGTATTTTTCACTTTTAAAGTATTTGTACCACTCACCATTACTTTGTATTAAATAAATGTACTGGGTACATAGGTTTTACATGTGCCCCAATAGTTTTCAATACATGCAATGTCATAGTTTAATATTCTATGCTTCTGCTTCTTATACTTCAGTTCTACCTGCATGCTGTAGCATAGCAGGTAGATTAAAAATTCATTAAGTAAGTAAGTAAGTAAATTTACAGGGCAGAGGTGATAAAAAGTATTTACTCTTTATAGAAAATTCTTCTTTATCCCTATAGATAAAAAAGTAACAATGCAAATATTACAGAAATATTTATACCATACATTATTTGATGCTATAAAACAGTTTCTTTTCATCGTTTCAAGTTTTAATTTCTATCTGGTGAATAGTTTATTGAAATAAAATATGTCTGAAGGAAATAACTATAAATGGGGAAAGAAGGGGAAGTAACTCTAGGAATGTTTGTTTTTTAATGTCCATTGCATAAATTGGTTTGCTAAAATTTTTATTTGTCTGTCTGAAGTGACCAACTAATATTTTTATAAGCACAGGGCTGGTAAATATTTTCTTGCATGCCATTCTTGTTAAATTAAAACATATTTAGATTTGTTTGTCTTACTAAAAAAAAGCAACTAGCCAGATGCTCTGGGATTAGTATAATATTTTAAGTGACAGCTCCACTCTAACATACCCCACATGTTAGGAGACTTATTTCAGTTACCTGTTAACTTTACAAAAATCATCTCTGAATCTACCAAACCAATTGCAACCGAAATTTGCCACAATCATGCTGAGGGTATTTTGTTGAAAATTAATCAGCAGGTCAAGGTAAAACAGTTAAAATGACAAGAACAATAGGATTTACAAAAAGTCAACTTGGCAGAATTTGTCAAATGACCCCGTATAGGAGTTATTGCCATTAGATGATGATTTTTACCCTGTCAGCTTAGTTTTTAAGGAAACTAAAGTTGAAAGAGAATCTTTTGACAGTAAAAATGTTCAACAAAATATGATGTACGAATAAGTTAACAAATCATCAATTGACTCCTTTTACTAGTTTTTGTCCTTGAAAGACTAATTTCACTAATTTTTTGCAGAACTAAGGTTAAAATTTTAAAAAGCAAATGTGTTCAACAAAATTAGATCTAGAAATAAGTCAACTTGGTCAAGTTGTCAATTCACTGATTATAAGAGTTATCGCTCCTGTTATTGCTCTTGAAAAAGGGTTTTTATCCATTCTTTTTTCATTTTTTTAAAGAAACAATTATAGACAAAGAGAAATTGTAAATTGCAAAGATATTAAGCACAATAAGATCTATAAATAAGTCAAACATGCCCAAAATTATCAACTCACTTCTTTTAGGAGTTATTGCCCCTGAATGACCATTTTCACTCATAGAATTTCCAAAGAAAAACTTGAGTTATTAAAAAAGTGAAGTACAGCGTGCGGTCATCTGGTTGCCAACAGTTTCTGTGCAATAACTTGTGAACCGTTCAACAAATGCTTTTCAAATTTTACCTTTGAGGAGTTATGGTCCTTGATCTGATGGAAAATTTTTGTCATCGATGCAATTCATCATGAACCACTCAACCAAGGATTTGTATAGTGGGAAGGATTGGAATCTCGTGGACTATTTGCATTGCCTGTATTGAAATAAGCTGCGTATGATGAGATTTTGCGAGATTTACCGTGATGCATCTCGTTAGTCGTTTTTCGTCCACCATTACAAGTTGAATTTATGTCATTTCCAGATAAACTTGGCCTTTTGTAAGTATACTATAACAAAATTACATGATGTGATACTTTTAAGTGTAAGTTTATGACAGTTCTGATTCAAAAAACAGTTTATATCTTTACAAAACACATTGTCTGCATCTAAATATACTATGCATTTTATCTGTTGGTCATCGTAATAATCCCGCCCAAATAGGCGGTCCAAACCACAATTTTAATCTCAATCTCCTCCTTCATAATAAGGAATTGTGTTCAGAAACTTGAATTATATGAAATAAATGTGTGTGGTGCGTGCATATTCTAAACTATATAGTGTAAGGAGCTTTCGTTGTTGTTATTTTAATGGTTATTTCAGACCAACCGTCAAAAATCGTCCCGCGTCAGTGCAAAAAAGGGTGGACTGATAAAATATCAATAAAGTGCCACAATCGGTCGATTTCAACACTAAAACGTAATTATATCAATTTATCATAGTTTATTTGTTGTACTTTCTAAAACATTTGGCTTTCAAAATGATAACGTGTGATATTATCATATTTTCAAAATACCGCTACGGTTACTAGATGAATCCAAAAGTCGTTATTATGGGCGGGACCAAATTAACATAAATAAACTTCCTGTAGTCCCTCGAACGTGATGAAAAATGTTGACAGTAGAATACATAGTTTGCATCTGTCGTTTCATGGACATTTACACCAAAAGGTATTGCTTTTTCCTTTAGAATTGATATGAAAATGTACTGGGAATTCCTTTATGCCTTCAAGGGTTTACAGAACCCTACTTACGTTCACCACATCAACTGAGTATATCATACAGTCATACTGCACATAGCTAGGCTACTGTCATAGGTGATAGCATATTTTGGCAGTAGTATAAAGTGAAAATATAGGGACACTATTAATTTACAAGTTAAAGGCGTGTTCTTACTATCATATATTAAGACTGTCTATCTCTCCAATTTTTTGGTATACCTCAGGCTTGTACCAAAGATAACAGGAGATAGTTACATTTGTATATGTGTATATATGTGCTTAAAAGTGTGGGGGATAAGGGTACGATTTCAGTGCAACTAATTCAGTTAATGAAATAAAAAATATATATTGCCGTCTTCAGGATAAATCACAAGCGCTCGTCCCAGACCAGTATAATTTTCTGAGGCTTAACTGCCCAAATGAATAAAAAGAAATTTTATGAAAGACTATTTTTCAGGCTTTGTTGTCAAAAAGTGTTCCACAATACACAAAATCTCTTAACACTCATAAACAAAAACCAAAAAGAAAAGAACGGTCCATTCACATGTACATGTATGGAGAATTTGAAAGTAAAATTAGGCACTTCATCAAGGAGCAGTTATAAACTCTCAGCTCACTACTAAAAACTCTTCATACATGTATTGTCAGGACTCTTGGGCGTCTGGGTTCATCATTTGAAATATAAAGAAATACCAAAATAGTCAAAAATTTTAAGTTGTCATGGTCAAACATTTGATATTCTTGGGATAGCTACATGTCTACTAAAGTACATAATAAATCCTTGTTACCCCAATACAATCAACCGGTTATATACTTGTATAGGATGCATAATGTGCCAATGCGGACTTTAAAATTCTGAACTTTTTCTGACCAGACTCCATATTCTACATAAATTCATGTCTTGTATTTTATTATTATTGTGATTTATTATGAACTGTGTTACTTTGTTAATATTCATATATACATTGTATATATATGTAGACCATAAAACCCAAGATAACTGGATTAATTTCAATAAAATACATATCCCAGCATTATTATAGTGAACATGTAAATTACATCTGTTTACATGGTTTAAACAGTAACAGATTATACATAACCCAGCAGTGACGAGTGCCCAATTATTCGTTTTTAAATTACTGCAAAATTCTCTAAATGTTATTTGATAAAAAATAATTATTTAGCTTTAATATATGGACAGCTAGGAGAGTAGCCTACTCTTGATACATAAGTAATAAAATTTCAGTTACTGTGTATAATTGTTTAACATCATATTTGCATTAAGTTTTTTACTTTCAGATGTAAAAGATATTTTGTGTTCTAATAGTACTTCTCTCGGAAGACAATAGTTGGTTATGGCTGTGGATAATAATCAGGTAACTACATTATTAAATATATAAAATAATACTGATACCAGAATTACTTTAAAATCAATATATTCAGAATTTGTGCAAGAATCATACCAGTGTGCCACATCTCTTAATATTTTTTACAGAAAATTTTGCAGGTGTATTTTGTTTTACATGTAATGTTTTATTTTTTTTTGCTTTGAAATTAAATGGATTAATATTATAGTTTTACAATATGGAAAATGTCAGGGAAACCCTAATTATATTTTATGTATTTTAGTCTTACAAAAAAAAATGTTTGTTATTTTCAGGATACCAAAGTTAAAGAAAGGAGATATGTTTCTTTGTGGTGAAAGTGCAAGAAATAACACCATATTCTGACTTACAAAATGATCACTCATACTGCATGCAATACAGGGAGAGGCATCAAACCAAGCCTCTAGAAGACATACATTTGTAGAATGTATTTTCTATGATGTACACGTTGCAGAGGATACTTTATGTTCCAAAAATTCAAATACAAATTGTGTCAGCTCCTGTGACAAACTTAAGACGGAAGTTAACCAGAGTATGAAATCACCATTATCAATATGTAAAATCCAAACAGTGACTATATATTTATTCAAATAGTGTCATGAATGGAATTAAAAAAGGACTTGGAAAATTAACATGTTTTAATATTGCTTTGTGTGTGTGAATAAAATTTGTCAGCAAGAACAAACTTCTTTTATTACAAGACATCCAGAATACATGTCTTCATACATGTCATAGCAGGTACCAGTATTTCTGTGGTTGGGTGTTCCCGGATAGTTTAGTTTGTAACAATGTTCCATTTTTTGGTCTTTCATGCTTGGTTCATAAGGAATGTAAACAAATATTTCATGTGGGCATAAAAATAAGGAGATGTGGTACAATTGCTATTAAGACAACTATCAGGAGATCAAAGGACAAGGATGTAAACGAAGACAGGTCAGTGTTCACTAAGATAGGTTTTCGAGTTCCAATGTAGCTATAGGTACTTTTTGAAAGTGGATAACCAATGGATTTATTGGGTCAATGGGATGAAGGTGGGGTGATGTGGGAATGAATATTTTAGCTTGGTGAGAATTAGTAGAAGAAATAATGTTGCCCGTTCAAGATGAAAATGAATAAGCTGCTGCATTTCTGCCTCACATTAACTTAAGCATGAAAAATTATGTAAAAAAGTGAAAATGAAGCTATGTGACATTAACAATCTGAGCAACAGATAAAAATGAAATAATATTGACTATTTGTGAATAATCTGTCCAAGAGAAATCCTCCTGCCTTACCCCCTAAAAATGTCCACTTATATACAAATGTATGCTCTTAATGCTAATAAAAAATGTCAAATCTTTACCAATATAAAAATAAGGAGATGTATGAATGCCAATGAGACAACTATCCATCAAATTCAAATGAAGTGGATGTAAGCAATTATAGGCAACTGTACAGCCTTCAACAATGAGAAAAACCCATATTGTATACTGTAGTTGGCTCTAAAAGGCCACAATGTGAAAAATGTGAAACAAATTATGAGTAGGGTGTATGACACAATAAGCAGATAACCCATCAAAGTTATTCGTAAAATGCTGTTAGTTGCTTGTGTTACTAATGTTTTTCACAAGGGAAATTTACTTCTACTTGCCATGGGTACAACCATTGATTTTAGGGTATGAATGATACGTTCATTGTTGAAGACCCTACATCAACTGTCAAGATGAAGAACAGGAATAAAAGCCATGATCATTGATAATTTTCTATGTTTTCTATGTATTGTGTGCGATTTAGTCCCATGTACATGTACATTTACTCCATATCTTTTCAGTTTCTATTTTACTGTTGTTTATAATCATGAACTTATTTTTAACTTCCTGCCAGTCCTTCAATGAACTCAAACCTCTATAGTTCCAGTTACAACTCATGTATTTGCAGTTTGATAAAAAAATCAACATACAGATATTGTATGGAGACTTGACTATTCTTGAAGACTGTATGATTTCCTCTTAACTGTCAACATGGTCAATGCTCTTGTGGTAGTTGGGTCAGTTTCATATAAAGTATACTAGAAGAATGGACAAAGACAAGCTGCGAAAATAATTAATTGTTTTGAACTTCTCTTTGGGGTTATCTTAAACAGCTATTACTAGTATCATAAAGATGTGTTGGGCTACTCAAATTACGATCACAAGAAAAACAACAACATAATTACGATAATTTTCGGCAAATGCCAAATGTAAACGACTATCAAAGTTTATTTTCCAGCTTGAGAGAGGCCCTCAATATGACATACTCAGAAGGAATCGTGATATCTTTGCGAATTAAAACAAAATATTGATCAAAGATGCTAAAACAAACTAAACCTAACAACAAACAAGTCAGAAATGATTATCTTTCAATACACGCTGTTCAACGTTAACCGGATATTTACTAACAGGCGCGTATAAATTTATAGTGGCGAGTACGCAACATCTCACGATACACGAGAAGTGTCGATATACCGCGAGATTCCAATCCTTCTCACTATACAAATCCTTGACTCAACCAATGCTTTTAAAATTTTCATATTTTTTTACTGATGACAAAATGGAGGTCAAGTTTGATATTGCAGTTCAGGAGTTATGGTTCTTGATAGATAGGAAAAATGGCAATTTTATGCCGTTTCCATGCAATAACTTATGACCAGTTCAACCAATGCTCTCAAAAAAATTTGTTATTGTTATGTTGGACACTAATTGCCTGAGTGCCATAATGGGTTAGATACATCAAAAGCAAAGGTTAACAGCAGTGAACTAAAATATTGTGAACTTGTGTATACATGTATTTATGAAGGATGTAATTTTGTTTCAAAATTAGACTGAGTACTTGATGAACTGTTCAAAAGAGCATGTACTATCGTCAATAAGTACGAAACTACGATCATAAAACATGTGGACGATGAAAATGAAAATCGGTTCATCTCACTCAGCTAAATACTGTTGACACCTGTTGTCAAATTTCAAAATCAATTGCCTTCACAAATAGTTCTCGACTTGTATTTTTAAGTTTAATTTTTTTCTATTTCAGCTATGCTTAGTTGGATATTGTAAGCCATGTTAACATAACAGTAACACAACGTAACTGCAGACAAAAATATTATTGTTATGTTCATAATTAATCAGTTCCTAACCCAACCTAGCATTCGGAAAATAAGTGTCCAACATAACAACTAGATATCATTGAGATGGGCCCCGCTGTGAATAATGTGTGGTAAAAAATTTGTATCTTTATCATTGGACATGGGGTTGTCAACTGAAACCAAAGTTTTTGACCTTGACCTTTGACCTAGGAAGTTGTACATAAATTATGACACACCCTCTGGTGTTGGTTTATATACATGTCAAGTATAAACTTTGAAATCATAATGATTCTCAAGATATAGGGGGACACGATCTTTACCATAGGACATGGGGTTGTCAACTAAAACCAAAGTTTTTGACCTAGGAAGTTGTACATAAATTATGACACACTCTCTGGTCAGTCTGGTGTTGGTTTATATACATGTCAAGTATAAACTTTGAAATCATAACGGTTCTCAAGATATAGAGTGGACACGATCTTTACCATAGGACATGGGGTTGTCAACTAAAACCAAAGTTTTTGACCTTGACCTTTGACCTAGGAAGTTGTACATAAATTATGACACACCCTCTGGTGTTGGTTAATATACATGTCAAGTATAAACTTTGAAATCGTAATGGTTCTCTAGATATAGAGCGGACACAATTTGTTACGGACGGACGGACGGACAGACTGATCACTATAGGGCGTCCGCCATTCGGCAGGGCCCTAATAACTTTTTCGTTATTGTTACGTTTTCAATGTAATCGTAGCCAGTGCCTTTCATTTTTACCATTCAGGAGTTATGGTCCTTGATAGATAGGAAATTGGCACTTTATGTTGTTTCTGTGCAATTACTTATCAATGGTCAACCATTGTTCTAAAAAAATATATGTGAGCCGATTTAGTCTGTTACTGATGACAAAGTGGTGGTCAAGTTCAATATTGCTGATTTTCATTTGATTTTTGCCATTTAGGAGTTATGGTCCTTGATTGATTAGAAAATAGGCAAAGAATGTAGCAGGTCAAACAAGTCTGAAAGCCCCTTTCAAAATACAGAAAACCTGGTTTGCTTACAGCTTATTCCTTGTATGAGCTTTTTGCAATGTAAAATATAAAAAGAAAGATAAAGAGCAAAAATATGTAGCAAAGATGTTCAGCAATATAAGATCCACCAATAAGTCAACAGGGTTGAAATCATCAATTGAACCGTGAGTGGAGTTATTACCCTTGAAACATGATTTTTTTTTCCATTTTCGTAGTTTTTGCATAAACTATAATAGATAGAGAGAAACAGTTCAATAAAATCCAAAAATCAGTCATTATGACAGTAATTATCAATGGACTTTTTATAGAAATTATTTTTGCTAGTTGATCAATTCAGGCTCTTGGGAGCCTCTTGTTAATTTGATTCATTCTCATGTTTCAGAGATATTACCTGCCCTCCCATTCTAAATTGCATGACATTAAATAGTTTTCGAAAGAATTGGTTTTATTATCCTATATATTTTATGCTTCAGAAATCATCAATATTTTAAAAAGTTCCTTTTTTTTCCTTTAAGCTGATACATATGATAATGATATAGCACTGGTGAAAATTAGTTCTGATGATGGTGAAGGGATAACATTCAATGATTATGTTCAACCAGCTTGTCTACCTGACATGGACACTCTGTATAGAACTGGTACATTGTGTCATATATCTGGATGGGGAAAGACTGAACATGGAGGTAAGATTGTCATCCTTACATGGACCACTTGTCTACCTGACATGGACACTTTGTATAGACCTAGTACATTGTGTCATATATCTGGATGGGGAAAGACTAAACATTGAGGTAAGATTGTCATCTTAACATTGACCACTTGTCTACCTGACATGAACACTTTGTATAGACCTGGTACATTGTGTCATATATGTGGATAGGGAAAGACTGAACATGGAGGTAAGATTGTTGTCTTACAATTGGACAGCTTGTCTACCTGACATGGACACTTTGTATAGACCTAGTACATTGTGTCATATATCTGTGTGGGGAAAGACTGAACATTGAGGTAAGATTGTCATCCTTACATGGACCACTTGTCTACCTGACATGGACACTTTGTATAGACCTAGTACATTGTGTCATATATCTGGATGGGGAAAGACTAAACATTGAGGTAAGATTGTCATCCTAACATTGACCACTTGTCTACCTGACATGGACACTTTGTATAGACCTGGTACATTGTGTCATATATGTGGATGGGGAAAGACTGAACATGGAGGTAAGATTGTTGTCTTACAATTGGACAGCTTGTCTACCTGACATGGACACTTTGTATAGGCCTGGTACATTGTGTCATATATCTGGATTGGGAAAGACAGAACATGGAGGTAAGATTGTCGTCCTTACATGGACAGCTTGTATAGATCTGGTACATTGTGTCATATATCTTGATTGGGAAAGACTGAACATGGAGGTGAGTTTGTCGTCCTTACATGGACAGCTTGTATTATAGATCTGGTACATTGTGTCATATATCTAGATAAGGTAAGACAGAACATGGAGGTAAGTTTGTCATTCCTATATGGACATCTTGTCTACCTGACATGAACACTTGGTAAAGATCTCGTACATTGTGTCATATATCTGGATGGGGGTAAGACAGAACATGGAGGTAAGTTTGTCATTCCTACATGGACATCTTGTCTACCTGACATGGACACTTTGTATATAGATCTGGAAGGTTGTGTCATATATCTGGATGGGGAAGACTGAACATGGAGGTAAGTTTGTCGTTCTAACATGGACAACTTGTCTACCTGACATGGACACTTGGTATAAAGATCTCGTACATTGTGTCATATATCTGGATGGAGGAAAGACTGAACATGGAGGTAAGTTTGTCATCCTTACATGGACAACTTGTCTTCCTGACATGGACACTTTGTATAGATCTCGTACATTGTGTCATATATCTGGATTGAGAAAAACTGAACATGGAGGTAAGTTTGTTGTCCTAACATGGACAACTTGTCTACCCGACATGGACACTTGGTATAGATCTGGTACATTGTGCCATATATCTGGATTTGAAAGACTGAACATAGAGGTGAGTTTGTAGTCGTAACATTGACAGCTTGTCTTCCTGACATGGACACTTTGTATGAGATCTCGTACATTGTGTCAGATATCTGGATTGGGAAAAACTGAACATGGAGGTAAGTTTGTTGTCCTAACATGGACAACTTGTCTACCTGATATGGACACTTGGTATAGATCTGGTACATTGTGTCATATATCTGGATGTTGAAAGACTGAACATGGAGGTGAGTTTGTCATCCTTACATGGACAACTTGTACAAACTTAACACTTTGAATTCTGTATCTGGTTTAGACAAACTCAAACATTGAGATATGCATGTTTGGTTGACATGACCACCATGATATGTATATCATATATTTTGAATCATGTATCTTGCTGAGGAAAGCTTATTTGTCTAAAATGTACACCCTGAAATGTAATTTTGCACATTGTGTATGTTATTATATATGTGGAAAACACTGGAAATATAGGTTTGAGGAACATCAAAAGGTTTTGTTTGACACCTAAAAATACATGCTGCCAGTTTTCGGTTCATGTTGCATGGTTATGTAAGACATATATCTGATGTTTTATATATGAAGTGAAAACTGGAAAGTATTTTTCAGAAAACCTGAAAATGGAGAATCAGAATATAAAGAAGACAATGCAAGATAGAGACAAACCTATAAACTATATCATTTACTTATCAAATGTAAGTGAGTTTTTAGGGAAATGGTCTTTTATTGATTCTCTATTATACACGAAGCTGATAACCCTCTTCTTATCCAATATGGCCACAATAATTGAGCTTACATTGATATACTAACCAAATCAGATTATTAAATCCATTCTCAATTTTATAAGTATTTGCAAAAATTGAATTGAAACTACCTATACTAAAACAGAAAACTTAGATAATTTAAGGATCTTCTTGTCACTGTAGGCAAGTTATATTCATATTATATATAATAGTTGTGATTACATCTCATGGAATATTTTAGTGAGCATAACTAAATCAATTATGCACATCTTAGAGCTGTCATGAAACCATTTTGTGACTTTTAGAACTTTGTTGTATGACAGTTCTTAATAATAAATGATTAAATAGATACAAATGTGAGTCTATAGTATTTTTTTATTTACAATTTCAGTTAGTCCGAATGTTTTGAGGAAAGAAAAAATTCCAATAATGAATCACAGTAAATGTAGAAGTTTGTATAAAAGTGATACCATTACACCACATATGTTATGTGCTGGTTATGAGGAGGGAGGTGTAGACACTTGTCAGGGAGACAGTGGTGGACCCTTAGTATGCAAGGTTAACGGTATGTATTTCCACATATACTGGTTATGAGGAGGGAGGTGTAGATACTTGTCAGGGAGACAGTGGTGGACCCTTAGTATTCAAGGTTAACGGTATGTATTTCCACATATACTGGTTATAAGGAGGGAGGTGTAGACACTTGTCATGGAGGCAGTGGTGGACCCTTAGTATGTCAGGTTAACGGTATGTATTTCAACATATACTGGTTATAAGGATGGAGGTGTAGACACTTGTCAGGGAGGCAGTGGTGAACCCCTATTATGTCAGGTTAATGGTATGTATTTCAACATATACTAAGTATACAGTATAGGTACTTACAAAGTATATATATAGTAGGAGATCAAGGGGCCTGTAGAAGGCGTAGGACCCCCTTTGATAGCCCCAAAAAATAAAAGTTCTCAGGTTTTTCACGATATGTATTTAAGTTTGGAGCATAAAATTGTCAACCTATTGGAAGTATATATTCAATTAATGGTAATTACATCCCCTATCAAAAATCCTGGATCGGCCCCTGTACTGGATACATAACTTTTCTAGGGGTACAGTTCTGGATTTCAATAGTCCATGGTCATGGACCATTTTTTTTTGAATGACAGACTTTGAATGACACTAAAATCCTTAATTACTTAAAATTAATATTCATATCCAATTTATTTGACTTAACTAACAAAATCTACTAAACATTCATATTTTAACCTAGTTGCCAAGAAGTGGAACACAACTTATTATATAAGGACTATCATTTGGTTTCCAGAAAATTGTCAAAGGTCTGGTACACAAACTAGTAGTAGAGCGAACTTTAGGCAAAATTTTGTGGTTTCCATGTGTTTTTATCATTTGAACCATATTTATTACTTTTACCAAATTTTATTTGATATTGCTGTATGAGATGAAAAAAAAGTGTATTGACTTTGAGTCGCTTTGTCAAAGGCGAAGGTCACAGTAGTAATTTAGAGACAGAAATTAGGGCAAAAATTTGGTTTTGAGATGTTGTCTTTTCTGGCCTACTAAATTATAATGGGAGTGTCTTTGCAGACTCTACAGTCTCTACGGTACTGGACACAAAAATCTGTGAGTTCCACTTCAAATCCTTAAGGTCACAGCTCATTTATGCACCTATGTTGCCTCTGTGTGTTTTTTTGCTGTTCATGAACTGACAAATCCCTACTTACTTTTGTAGATAAATACACAGTACTTGGAGCTACATCCTGGGGGAATGGGTGTGGTGATGCCGGATCTCCTGGTGTCTATGCACATGTTAGAGGTCTTCTACCTTGGATAACAGACCAACTTAAAAAATATAACCAGTAAATACTGGTTCTCAAATATCTACCAATTCATATTATCCTTACCCTTACCCTTACCTATAAACTGTACCAAAACAACAACTTCGTTATGTTTTGAAATTAGTTGAGTTGATAATGAGAAATTATAAAACGAGCGCTGTTTACCTGATAGTTATGAAAGCATGTATACCAATTCCCTTATTTGATGCTTTTATATCTTTGGTTTATACTTATTATCATCAGTTATATTAAAATGTCTTGAGGTCATATTGGAAATTATCTCGAGTAACAGGTGTCTTATGTAATATGTTGTAGGTAGTTACACAGCTTTAGGAGTTGTATCATGGGGCAATGGTTGTGGAGAGGTTGATATGCCTGGAGTTTATACGAATGTTCAAAAATTATATCCATGGATTGTAAAACAGTTAAAGAAAAATACTTAGTTTACAACATTAAAATTTAATGGTGTTTATTAATGTCTTCTTTGCATGACATGTGACAATTTATGTAAAGTTCGTAATAGGTGTTCATACCTACACTTAAATTGATAAGGCTACTTTTGATAGACCATTATTATGTTGATATATAGCTCTTCCTCTTGTGACATCATCGGTTGTGCCAAGAGCAACACAACAGGTGTCACTTGTGAAGCAGGATCTGCTTACCATCGCGGAGCAAGCACCTGACATAACACTGGATTCCTATTGGGGTTCGTGTTGATTTTCTGTACAGTGTTTTGGACCAGCCCAGAAGTTAGCACTTCTGTGTTGACATGACATAACAATGATATGGTCATATTTATGAATTTATTGTTTACAAACCTCCGAATTGCTTGAAATACTGGCGATTTTCTTCCCCATGAAAAGATTACCTGAGCTGTATTTGGCAAAACGTTTTAGAATGTTTGGTCCTCAATGCTCTACAACTTCCTACTCGATTTGGCCTTTAAACGTTTTTAATTCAAGCGTCACTGATATGTCTTTTGTAAACAAAACACGCGTCTGGTGTACAAAATTATAAGCCAGGAGTATTTTGGATCAGATTTTTAATAGACTTTTGTTTCATTTTTTGCCCTTTTTATTTTTTATGCCATTTCTTGTGTTTTTCTTCGACTTGTTTTTTTTTATTTTACCCTTGCTTTATTCCAACCATTTTATTGACTGTTGTACTGTTTCGCTATATAAACACTTGAACCTGGAATGAGGCCCTATAAACTGACCTATGCTGCAGTTATTACTGTATAGGTCATGCTCCTTCTTTTCCATCTAATGTTATAGTGTTCTCTTCTAAAGTAGTTTTAGGTAAATTTTTATCAGATGAATAGTTTTGGTATGCTGTTGCATATATATTTGAAAATATAAATTGTGACCCAGAAGTTGGGTTTGTATGATTCACTTTTGATATTAAGATATGATAGACTCAGTCTTACTATGGTTTGCATTAACAGCCATGCCTCTCATTTTCGGATAGACGGCAAGGCCAACTTTCTCCCTAGAAAAGTTGTGTTCTCAACCGACCCTCATTGCCAATTTCTAGATGTAAGTCAAGATATGAGGCAGATATTTCTGTATCTGTTGTATCCTTTATTTCAAGTTCGATAGGATAGATGCGTTCAACATAGTCACCAAACATTGAATTATTTAGGGAGAGGATATCATCTATATAGTGAAACGTGAAGATAAAGAATAATGCAAGCTTCTTTTGGTTCTTCGTAGGAAGCTCCTGTATGAAGTCAGCCTCATATGAATAAAGGAACAGGTCGACAAGTTGTCAGTACCTCATTCCTATATCAAGCAGTTTATGTTATGTGATTTACACACCAAAACGATGTTGTTTGGTGCTATATCTGTGGGGAACAACCAACATATTTGTCATGGATGTAGGACAGGTGCTTAGCAACATTTGGGTCCTTGAAGATTGATGTAGCATCTACGTCTTTAATGCGTTTAGCCCATTGCCTTGCATACTCCTCGACTAAATCTATCACTATTTTGAAGTTGTGTTTCCAATTGATGGATTTCGGTTCAAATCATCTTTAATAACCTGATAGAATCTACAACAAGAATTAGTGTCAACACTTACAGACACGAGGTAAACGCAAAAAAAAAAGTAGCCGAATAAAGGTCGAAGTTAAAATAAGTCACAAATCTGGTATGCAATAATGTCCAATTTTTTGTATTGCCGCACTATCTTATTTCCGTGTCCAGTCAACTTCGAAATTAGGGTCAAACTCGTAATTTGTCATATAATTCAAATAGTGAACGTGTGTATTAGGTTTCAAGTACAATATGATTTCTTCTATGTTCTATAAACCATTATTAATTAAATTATGTTTTGCAGCCGTAGTAAAACAGCAATAAGAAATCGTGCTTTGATTATTCCTTATTTTCTATTATCCTAGCTTAGAAGTCCATAGTTCTAAAATTGATAAAAGCTGAAGCTTAGCAGCTATATGTCACAACATCATTACATATGAAATAAAATTCGGCCCAATATCCTTCGTCTATTCTAAGGTTGACATACTGTATGGATGAACTAGCGTACGCCGTATCCTGCATCTATCCTTAGATTAATTCCGTGTGTGGATGAACATTTGTCACTTAGCAAGAACATAACTGTATTCACAACATCTTCCATCTCTGTAAAATAAAACAAAGTCTGAAAATGATTATGCTTATATCTAAAATAAAAAACAACACTTATAAATTTCATGCGTCCCAAGCGCTTTTCTGGATTGACCTTCAGCAGGAACGCTCAAAGCAAAATATTTGAAAGCCAAGGATGTATAAGAACCGAAACAGATTAAAAGCTATATAACCTAAAAGGACCAGAAACACTTTGCCAAATCCATCTAAGGCCTACTTTGTCTGAAGTAGTTGAAACCTTAGTTTGTTAATGATTTCGGAATTTAACAACGGACACTTTAGAAAAAAATGTTGGTTATAAAGCATGTCAGTATCGAAGAACTGATTACTGAGCTTATAATACCATCAGGACTGATAGTCTACCAGCAACGATATCAACCCTGTTCTGTAAAAAATGAAAACCACACTATAAATTTCATGCGTACCTAAATATATATAAAGTTTTATAACCGGTCCATGCACATAGAATTGTCCATTGTTGAAATAAGGCCACAGTAGTTTACCGATGAACAAATCTCATAAATCGATTAAGAAAGACAAATTAAAACAAGGGAATCGCGTGAACGCCAAGAAGGGACAAGATAATTCTGAATGATCAGAATTGTGGAAAATATAAAATCAAGTCCGTGTTTTTATACCTATAAATTTTCCAAGTGGATGCAATTGTCTGAAAACTTCAAGTTGATCTGCTTTTTCTGGTTTCCCCCAAGCCTCTCTTGTTAGGTCTGTCCAAACAAGACTAGGATTTACGCTGTTCACTCGGATCTGAAAAATTAACAACTTATGTTAAACCTAGGAGGTATAGAGATAAAATACTTTTGACCTCCTCAGTCTGAAAAGTTCTTACTCATTTAACTTTTTGGGGGAAGGGTCGTCATATTGACGTGAATCTTTATTTTGCCACACTAGTCCAGCCCTGGCCTCAGTGACTTATTTTGTTTTCACTGAGTTGAGTTTTACGTCAATTACCTTCAATGGAACAAGGTCTTGGAATTATTTCTCAGTATATATCGAGACAATGTAAGGGAGTTCTAATACACACAAAAAATCAGTGGTGAAGATACATCCATAAATATTTCAACAATACTCAAGAAACGCTTTTCGGATATCGTCATACAAATTTCAATTCGTCCTTTTAGGAGCATAGCAACGTCGCGGTAATATAGCGTAACTGATGGAAACAATATTTCCACAGCTCTATACAACGGAGAAGTAACTAAGTTATGATTTGATTTTGATTTTTGGTGTTTTAACGCCACTTTTAAGCACCGCTTTTGGGCTATTTCGTGGCGGCCAGTTTTTATTGGTGGAGGAAGCCGGAGTGCCCGGAGAAAACCACCGACCTTCGATAGGAAAACTAACAATCCTAGTCAATTAAGATTGGAGTGGAGTGCACCCGCACGAGCGTGGTTCGAACTCACAACCTCAGTGTTGACTGGCTAGTGATTACAGTAGTAACTACTTAGACCACTCGGCCACCGAGGCCCCTAACTAAGTTATGTTAATTGTTTATTTTATCAAGATTTAAGATTTGTAAAACATTTTTTTGTATTAAAACTCTATGACAATCGTCCCGTAGAAATAATGCCGGGAGCTTGCACCCTTGAAGGTAATGGAGGGGGAACTGGGTTTCAAAATAGTTAAAATTATACTAAGATAATTCACTAAGGCCAGGGCTTGAAACGTTTTGTGAGTTCTAAAGATCAAATGCAATACACTATACTTAAGTTAGACATAAAGAAATCAATATGTTGCGTAAAAAACTCATAAAAACACCAGGCTTATGAGGCTGCAACCAAACAACACGCTCATGACGTCTGGTTATACACCGCCTAAGAAAGTATGGGGCATTATCTTTACCATCAATTTGTAGTCTCATAACTACGAACTTGGTTACCTTGTGCATTAAGATTTGAATTATATTCCAAATTACGGTTTTCGTCCCGATTTCATAGATCAATGAAAACGGAAATATGATAGTGTTAAATCAGTACATTTTTAGGTTAACATATTTTTGGGTGAACTAGTCAACCATAAAGTATTGGTCATATTTACTTTGAAACTTAGTACACACGTTGATTATCATATGAACTATTTAAATTATATGCCAAAATTTCATGGTTCACTGATAAAGAAATGTAATGCGAGCTATGGAACATATTATTGTTTCAATTTCAGGTATAAGATGTAATGTTGTAGTCATAATTTGAACTAGAATTTATACGATGAGGTCTTAGTTCTAATTCCATAAATTTGTATTCTTCAAAACTTACATTCTTATTATGAGACTTAAGTACTTATACATATTTGATTAGTACTTACATTATGAGGTCCAAGTTCTAATGCCATACATCTAGTTAGCATATCGACAGCAGCTTTACTAGGACAGTACGCAGAATGCAACTTGTCGTCAATAACACTTTTTGAGGATATGCTTGAGATGTTTACTATAGATCCTCCCTGACCTCTTTCTACCATTCCTTTAGCTACGACCTGTTAAAACAATTCAAACCATTAGAACACAGCTGCCGAAGTTTTTTTTAAATTTTAACCTCCAGCATCACTGAAGAGACATTAATTGTCGAAATGCGCATTTGGTACAGTAAAATTGATACCGTTTTGTTATAACATTTTTAAACTAATGAAAAGAGGAACTATTTTTTTCATGTTTAAATACATTTTTGGGGTAGAAATGAAACTACGGTTTTGTGAGAAAAAAAGAAAACATAATTAAAACTAATACAGTGTCTTATAAACGGCGAAAATACATTTTGTTTCCATACAAAGTATTCAAATATTATTATAAAAAAAACCCAGAAAAAAACCGGACGCAAATACCTCTTTTAAAGTATAAATGAACCCGATCTTGTACAAAATGAACAAATTATTAAAAACGATGCTTCAGTCTTAATCGGCAGTGGTTGCTTATGATTTACCTAGTTCTAATAGAGTAAGCATTCTGATGCTTTTCTTCTGTTGTATTGCTGGCTTTGGGAATTTTTTCGAAAAAAAAAAATTTTTGCAGACGGAAGATCTACCTAACTATGGTGGGTGGTACGATCTACAATGAGTTCAAGTACGTCTGTAATCGTCGTCCGTTTTCTCAAAATTGTAATAACCTTTTCATCTGAAACAACTGAACCAATTTCAACTTAACCTGACGTGAATTATCCTAGGGTTTCCAAAATAAAGTTTTTGTTGCATGTTCTAACCAATTATCCAATTAACCAACATGATTGCATTGGTTAAAAGTATATTTGTGCCAAGACTCCGTGTTGAAGGCCGTACTTTGACCTATAATGGTTTACTTTTACAAACTGTGACTTAGATGGGGAGTTGTATCATTGGCACTCATACCACATCTTCTTATATCTATATAAGGGTAAAATGGACTATCGAACAATGTCGAATATCTTAAGTAACCATATTAGTAAAAGGAAAAATCAGAATCTCAAGATCTTCCTTCTCATTGATTTGAAATTATCAGATGAATTGAACATAGTTATTGCCCTTAAGGTAGAGCGGGTGTCTTCTGCCATTTTGGATTGTAAAATAGCAGAAAACAATCGGCCTAGATCTTAAATGAGATATATTATACATTTTTATAATGTTCATCTAAATAAACAAAATTGTTTTTTTTTTTTACAAATACAGAACATTTTTGTTTGATTTTTTTTTCAACTTTGCCATATATTGGGGAGATAACTCAGATAATGTAAGGAATATGTTAGGAATTTACCTAATTTTTTTTGTAGCAAAAAAACGAGAACCATAACCTCAATTTTTCTCTATATTTTCAGAAAGCACATTATACGAGCTATCTTCTCAGTTTTACTTAGATATTCTATCGTTTGATTTTCTTTCTATCACACAAAATTGGGGTTTTCATGGATAATCCATACAAATTCGGACAACCTGTAGCTTGAAAAAAAACCGTGACTTATACTTTTATTGTATTTATGAAAAAAGCATGATAAAAACTACATTTTGGAAAATCATTAAGACATTGTATCGTTTTCAATGTTTAGACCATCTACCTCAAATTGCGGGTTTAAATTTTTTTTAAGTGTTTGACTTTTATCTCCAACAATTTTATAATAGAACCATTGGATTTCTCCTTCAAAGAGTTATTGTCCTTTAAGGACTTCTTTTTAGCAATTGATCGGGTTTTTGTCTATTTTGTCGAAAATATATAATAAATAGGTAGAAAATGAAAATAATACTCTATAAATTTCGTGCTTCCGAAGTGCTTTCTTGGATTTACCTTCAAACAGGAACGCTTAAACAAAAGCATACGAAAGCCAGTGATGAACAAATACGTTGAAACGATAGATGCTATATGACCGAAAAGAAAAATTCAAATGTGTTGCCTTTTATTTCAAAAACTATAACCAAATGCTAGAAACTGTAAACAACAAAACTGATCAGCAAAACAAGATATATGTTTGACAGTTTAGCGATTCAGGATCTTTAGAGCCTCTTGTAAATTGTGAAGCAGTTATACTAGTAGTAAAATAAACACTTGAGAATACTTGAAGCAACTGCTACAGAAAATGTAAATGACTACCTGTGAAACGTTGAACGTCGCATTAAAATTAGTATTCATTACACTGAAATAGAAACATAATTATAAACATTAATATTGGTCATAAGATGCAAAACAAACATGGACTAGTTTATGTTAAACATCTGTATTACGTTATCTTAATCCAAAAACGAGTTCTTCGTAAAAAGAGAGTGCTTACAACTCCTTGAGTGTTTTAGCGGCCCGTTGTGTGGCTGTTTTTCTGTTTCTTTCTAGCATACTCACTTTTCCTTATGGCAGTTTAAATTTCCAACCCTTCGTAACAATACACTCAATTTGCAGAACCTACATATATGATTTATTGTTTATGAGTTATATATACTGTAAATAATACTTGAGTTTTTACAAGAAATTCATATAACAAATTCTACAAAAGAAAGTGTAAATTAGCATTCGCTTGCTATGTATAACCTAAATTATAAAAACAATAATTAAACATATTTCAATCATATCAACACGTCAAGGAAATGTCATAATCTTACGCGTCTAAGTTTTCTTTACTCATTTCCAGAAATGGTTGCCATCTTCCGATACCTGCATTGTTGACAAGGAAATCTACTGGCCCCTTATGTGTTACTATTTCTCGTGTTTTCTCCCAGTTTTGCAGGTCTATCTGATAAGTGTTGATATTGGGAATCTAGCCAAAATAAATAGATAGTTGAATATATTCAAATTAAATGAAATGGTATTTGTACAACAGGAAAGTATATGTTTTGTTAAGAGAGTTTTTAAGATCTCTAACAACAGCAACATTCAAAAGTTGGTTTAATTTTGCTATGATACAAATTCCAAAAAACACTGCCGATGTTGATTGACACGAGAGTATGTATATTTTATTACAAATCTCCCAAATTCCATGGCCAGGCTTTATATTTGAAGAAAAATAGAATAACAAAAGCTAGTCTTCAAAATTTTTGAAATAGAAAATTACCTCGACCTTCAAGCTATCTAGGTCTGCCTGTGTTCTACCAAGGGCAAATACCTCTGCTCCTAGTGCTACTAACTGAACCGTTATTGCTCGACCAATACCTTAAAATAGCAAAGTACATATGATTTTAAAAAGTAGAACAAAATGTTCGACGTTTTGTTTTGATCGACAACATATTAGTTGAGTTTGGTGGATTGATATTTTTGACTTTTTGTTGGTATTCTAATGGGTACTAATTGTGCACCTACTAGCCGACTTTTTTGTATTAATATGAAGCAGAGTTCATACAGAACAGTCTCAAAGATTAAAGGGAAAAGTATCTTGCAAGGCTCTTTAATTTCACCTTCAGATATATTGATGATGTCCTGACACTCAATAGCTAATTTTTCATTGCTACTAGTGTGAATTATCATTTCACATAACTCACTTGTCACTTGATATAACTGAACATTAACTTTTCAAGGATATTTCATGTCAACACCCACATTCTACGTAATGGGTTGTTGATATTCTCGGGGATGAAACGTCAACCAGCAGTAGCGTAGACGCAGGGATAATTTATTTGTCTCATCTGACTAGCGACATGTTTTCGCGGTCTTAAATCTTTAGATATCAGCATAGTAGTCTGTTTTTAAATTTAATGATTATGTCCATACCTGATTCTGACTATTGATTCACATAGTGGGTGATGCATGCATAGCACCGGTCGCGCTCCTTTTGGAATTCCTGCGAGATCCCCTGTTTTGTTATACCTTTATTTGAATCTTCTATGGATTTATGACATTTGTTCATTAGTAAACTATTATTGCCGCTTATGCAGAAATTGGATATAATTCAAAGGAAAATGTTTAGTATTTGTTATTTCATTCTTTTACCTGTTCTGAGATGAATTTTCGGTTCGAAAAAATGAAAACAACACTGTATAAACTTTAGTGTGAAGCGCTTTTCTGTTTTTTTGTTGTTGTTGTTTAATCAAATAACGTGATCACTACTTCAAAAAATACATTTCTCTCTGTTTATTTACGATTTCCCATTCATTTGACACATGACGTTTATCACTGAAAAGTTGATCGTAGTCCTCATAAAAAACCGCCATTTTTTTCCTTCTGAACAGGAAGAAAAATGTGACGTTTTGATTTGAAGTAGTATAAGTTGTCTTTGCGATTGATAATCATTTTGAAAAGCATAGTAGAAATATCAACAGGCAATCCAATTAGAAAAATTGAATGATAGACACCACAGGCACCAAGCAAAGAAGAAGACAGATATACAAATATTGCTTCCACAAAGCACAAATGAATTAAATGTTAAAAATATAAAGTTACAGTTCTGCGAATTGCATTTATATCTGAAAATGAAATGGTGTGTTTCAGATGGTTAACAGTTCTTTCTCTATCTATTGCATCCGTAGTATTGCGCAAGATCAATGTTTGAATATATAAATCACATTCGGTTATAAGTTGCATCAAGGAAATCGTCCTTAACATTGTTAACTGTAATGCATATATTCCATAATGGTCTAAAATTTGATTTGGTACCACATTTTGTCTTTCACTCTTAAAAAATAAAGCTGTAGCTCCTAACGCAACTTTTGTGTTTTGTATTCATTTCGAAAATAAACGCAGTTGTAACTTTCATAAATATTTCCTGTCATACGAAATATAAGTTATCAATACATGTGCATCGTATATATAAATGTACCCTTATTTCAGAGCTTTTCCATACCTTTTCCAGCACCTGTTACGATTGCTCTCTTTCCATTAAAGTTTACCTCCATTTTTACATGTAAAATTCAAGGCCATCTACATGTTATGATAAGCGTTGTATTTTTAGTAACAAGTATCAACGGAAGAAGTAAACCGTGTCATATTTCATTTACTAGTAAAAGATTTCTCTTCAATGCGTTACAATGCAAGCTAGTGCACCAGCTATAAGATGAACTGTCTACACATCTATCGATGATTTTGAATGATTGCTTTTGGTGTATAACACAGGCGTTTTTTCTTTTTTTCACCTGACAGATTTCTTACCATATTTTGTGGTTGGAACCTTGAATCCTTATTAATTTCTTAATTTATGACATGGAAACTTTAAGGAAACGTGTATCTGGCATACAAAATTTTAATCCTGGTATCTATGATGAGTTTTTTTATAACATTAGAGGGTATCAGGCAGGAACCTGAATGTATTAATTAACGGCCAAATACAACTTACGTTTTTGTAACTTAATACTTTTTTTTAGAATATTTGTGATGCCATAACTTCTGGAATATTGAAAGGTTACAAGAATTTGATCTTCAATAGTGCATAAAGCATACATTTGAATATACGCACTAAGAAATTATAAATATGTTAATACATTATCAAATTAAGCAACCTACGTATACATTCTCGCGTCTTCCTGAAATTCGAAATTATATAGACAATAGCTCTCATTCTAAAAACTGGAAACTTATATCCATTTATATGACTTCCTGTATAGCGGCACACTCAAAAAATTAAATGTTTTTCCTGGACCACAAACTGGAGTGAAGTATATAACTGAGTTCTTTTGAGACAATTAACACAAATAACAATGCAACTTAACCTGTGTGATCCAGAAATCAAGGTGATTCTCCCAAATGAAACCATAGAGAAACATTACCCCAAGGTTTGTCTCCCGCGAAAACTTGCTGACCCAAGCACTGAGAAATCAAGTAGGTGACTATATGAAAAGATGACACTACAATTTATGAAAAAGAAGGCCGAATGGTGGCTTTCCACACAACTCAAGAAAGACTACAACCGTGGATTAAAGCCCTGAATCTGTATTTCTATGAAAGAAAAGTGACAAAGTGATTACATGGGTAAACAACCCCCAAACAATCTCTTCATCCCAGAAGTCTATTACCATTGATGTGAAAAACAACAAAAATGAAAGACTGTACAAATTAACATTCTTTATCAAAACAGGGCTCACACATGTACAGAGTAGTCACCACCATGAATGTATTCACACAGAGTTTCCTAGTTTAATGTCAATAATAAGGGAATTATCTGGGACTCACCCCGCAGAAATAAGCAAGGATATCTTGTCGCAATCAGGTGAAATAGATGATAATACTAATGTTTAAGAGGTTATTAACACTAAAAGCCAGCATAACATCAATGATAGGATTTGCTGTGCTAGTGGTGAGACAACATACACATGTTTTTAATGATCAACCTACAAAATTACTCCCATCAGCAACCCTAACAAAAGAATCTAACCGCACCTACACAAGCACATGTAGCCAATGTGATTTTGATAACAACAATACATGTATTGATAAATGTGACTTGGAATGGATGGAATCCTGCTTCTCTAATGCTATTCTGCAGTTAGAAAATAGTTGTATGGACAACACTGATAAAATAATCACTACTCTTAACTCAAAGATTAACCTTAAAAACAACAACTAGCATGACTAAATCTCAAGCAAATGGGAACATTTCTTTTTTAGAAAACAAACTACATCATCTGAAGGATGAAATACTAGTATCTCATGATACAAGCTTGCTAAATGAGACACGGGATCAGTTAAGAAATACCGTCTTCAATGCCAACTATGCACAAGAAACTTATGAAAACAGAATAACGGATAAGAATGATGAATGTTAATGCCCCAATCTATCAGTTAAAGAACTTTCTTCGAAACTTAATATCTCGAGAGATGAAATAATTGAATAAAAAATGCAACAATGATAGTTTCTGGACCACAATTCAAAACTGACATCCCAGCAAGCCCATCAAACACCAATCCGACCGTCTTACTTGTTGAAACATCTAACACTGAGGGAATTAATGCACCGAAACTTACAAATATAGCCGAAGTTAACAAAGTAACAAAATATACAATGCAGCAAGCCACTGAATATCTAGCCTCAATTATAACTCCACCTTCAGTCTTGTCACTTCATTTGTTAATTAATGACCTGAAGACCAAAAAACCAGCAGTATGTGTTGATGAAATGTTCGATATATATATAGCAATAGGCATCTTTTCAAAATGGCCACTTATTAAAATTGTTCTTTCATTTACTCCAAGATGTGACACCAATAATAATTCAACAAATGGGCAGATAATCAATGTTTTGTTGAATTAGAAGTTTTCTGGTATGGATAATGTCTACTTTGCAGAATATAGCAGTATGCTCCTCTATGGTAATCCAAAAAAGATCTCATATGCGATGATGGCTACCATCTCAATGACAAAGGAATTTCAATCTTAGCCGGCAATATAAAACGTGCCGTACATGCTGCATTAGATGTGCCTTTGCCTAGCCGCCGCTCAACTTTCTATAAAATGTATATATTTTAACAAGATTTTGTGTCAAATTTTATGATTTACTGTTATGCTCAATATCAAATTGTCATTTGATTACATATATTGTATTTTACAATTGCTATACACTATTTTTTTAAAAGTAAAACTGGTTAAAGAAGCAACTATCTATACACAGATCCATTGGCAAGGAATAAATCCCACAGTTTAACATAAATAGTTTTGTTTTTTTCTAGTTCAATCTTAGCTAAATTTGATTAACTGATTCAGTTAAAAGAATAAGGAAAACTTTTCTTATCATTTTCTTTTTCTTTTTAATTTTTGACTGTATATAGTCATTTATTATTATTTCTTGGGCGTTACCTGTTAGGTATATGAATGAAATGCGAATCAGATTAAGATAAAGTGCATGTATCAAAATGTTTTTTTTAGAACACAAGGGGTTTAATATCTAAAACTAATGATACGACAACAGATCCACTCTTTTTAAAAGAAATAAACAGATATGATATAGTTTTTCTAGCTGAAACACATCTGGGATATAATGCCAGCGAACAGTTTTAACATTGGTCAGTTTCATTATCACCCAGTATGTAGACCAACATCAATTCACAATAATCGTCATTTTGGCGGTTTGGCAATTTTGAGAAAACCAGCTGTAAAAACTCATGTTAAAATATTAAGGATTACTAATCCTGACTATCAATGGATCAAACTTGATATGATTTTTTTTGGTTTTGACAATGATTTATATATTTGTATTTTTTATTATCCACCTAGTGGCTCAGTATACACCAAGGGTCTAGACAAAGATATCTTAGATTGTATTGAAGCATAGAATCAGATTTCATTTTACATTATGATCACCATACACACCAGTCTATGATAATTATCCTATTGATAAAAAGATACTCAATAGATATAGTCCTGATATGACCATATATACAACAGGCAAGAACCAATTGAATTTATGTGTGAATCAACAAATACGAATCCTTAATGGTCGTCCTCTTGGTGATACGTTTGGCCACTATATATGTTATGCTCCTAATGGAGCAAGTGTGGTCGATTGTGTCATGGTGTCGGAGGGTATCTGGATCAGGATTTACATTTAAAGATAGCTGACTTTATACATACCTTATCAGATAATCATTGCAAGCTGGAATGGACAATATCAGCTAGGTATACTGTACAAAAAGATGAAAGTGTTTATATACAACCTATGGCTCTTAATTGTATTTGGTCTGATGATTCTTTTTACAAGATCCAGCTGGCAATGTGTTCAACAGATATACAAAACAAGCTGTAAGAGTTTAACAATAACTGTATTAAAGACACACAAGTGTCAGTGGATGAAGCGACGACAGAACTTACTGATCTTACATTGTCAGCTGCACATTCATTTCTCAAAAAGCCAAAATTTGTAAATACTTCCCCCTCTAAACCTTAGAATAAAAAATGGTTTGACAAAGATCTTGGGAAAACTAGACAAAACCTCATCAGATATGCTCAGATTTATAGCAAAGTTCCCAAGGACAATTACGTGAAAAACCATTACTTCAAACTTTATCAATAGTATAAAAAAACTGCGGAAGCTTAAGTATAAACAGCATAGGCAGTCCATATTGACCCAGTTGGAATCTCTTCATGAGAATATTCCAAAGCTTTATTGGAATCTTGTTAATGACTTGAGAAATATGAGAGAAAAATACCAGAAAAGTTTTGCCGTTGATCCGTCCACTTGGGTAAAATCCAAATGAAGTAAAAGACATCTTCAAACAACGCATTAGCGAGATTGATAAATTACTAGACATTCTACAAAAAGAAAAAAAAAACTTTAATGAATTTGACATGCTTATTAGTCCAGGAGAAATTTCTAAAGCTATATCAAAACTGAAATATAACAAGTCGCCAGGATTAGATCATTTATCTATAAACAACGTGCTTAAATGTGGGGAAAATGCTCTTATTCCTTGTATTCATAAGTTATCTAATGCTTGCCAGTCAAGTGGTAATTGTCCCTGTGCTTGGGCTCTTGGATATATTACACCAGTACATAAATCTAATGATATATCTGATCCAATTAATTACAGGGGTTTTACAAGAAAAGCTAGAACTTGTGATCATTTATTCATTTAGAAATGTATTATAGATGAATATTGTAATATACAATGCAACATTGTAAATATCTAGGTGTTTATTATGGTGCTTCAGGTACATTCTCCTATGCTCAAAATGAATTATACAAGAAAGCTTTTAAAGCATATTTTAAACTTAGAAAAGATTTATTATCAAAATGAAATGTAACATTCATGACGACACGAGCTTCCACAATAAAGTGCACAGGTAAATAAAAGAAAAACTTGATAGAAATCGTGTTTTCATGATCCTAGCAAAAACATGTAATTATAAGTTAAAATCCTAGCTTAAAAGTAGTAAACATGTTTTTGATCATACTATTTTCTTCTTTATGGGAGTGA